TTATTTCTGCAAGCTTGTTGTAGCCAGGGAATCCACTTCTGATGCTGGTAGTTTTATATCTGGGACATGCTGTTGCAAGGGTACATACCTTTTTCAAGACCAAGGACCACATCAGATTAGTTGTAGCCTTCCATCCTTAGCTGGAGAACCGGGGCTATATAAGGTATCTAGTTGACTTAATTTGCACAGTGAACAAGTCCTATTTTATCAACTGAGTGCTCTCGCCAGCTAGAGTGGTCAAGAGGCTGGTCAACTCGTATGCTCAAAATAATAATTTTAGCTGCTTAAAATCTAGAACTGGAGTGGGCCAAGAAATTTAAAAAGTTTGAAAACATAATAAATGCTGACATCTTATCACCCAGATGAGTGGAGAAAGTTAATGTTTTCAAAGTGCAAATGTGAGAGCTCACAATATATCTGTGAAGTGAAAGGCAAAAGATCCAATGGGAACTGGGAATAATAATAATAATAATAATAATAATATATTATTATTATTATTTATTTATTTATTTATTTATTTATACCCCGCCCATCTGGCTGGGCTTCCCCAGCCACTCTGGGCGGCTTCCAAAAGAATATTAAAATACTGTGATACATCAAGCATTAAAAGTTTCCCTAAACAGGGCTGCCTTCAGATGTCTTCTAAAAGTCTGGTAGTTGTTGTTCTCTTTGACATCTGGTGGGAGGGCGTTCCACAGGGAGGGCGCCACTACCGAGAAGGCCCTCTGCCTGGTTCCCTGTAACTTGGCTTCTCGCAGTGAGGGAACCGCCAGAAGGCCCTCTGTGCTGGACCTCAGTGTCCGGGTAGAACGATGGGGGTGGAGACGCTCCTTCAGGTATACTGGACCGAGGCCGTTTAGGGCTTTAAAGGTCAGCACCAACACTTTGAATTGTGCTCGGAAACGTACTGGGAGCCAATGTGGGAATCATTCAGAAGTGCCTCAGTGCTTGGATATTGTTCTTTACAGTGAAAATGTAGGTGTCATTTGAATATCTGGCTACACAGAACATTTAGGCCGCAGTACCATACCCATTTAGCTGTGAGTATGTTCCATTGAACTTAATGGAGCTTACGTAGAAGTAGACTTGTTCTTAGAAGTGCTCTGTCAATCTACATAATCTACTAGGAACCAGTGTGGTGTAGTGGTTAGAGCATCTGACTAAGACCCCTCTCAGCCGTGATGTTCACTAGGTAGCCTATCCTACCTCACAGGGTTGTGGGAATTAAATGAGGGGGAGAACCATGTACACCACCTTGAGCTCTTTGGAGAAAAGGGTGGGATATAATTGCAAATAACAACAACTGGGTAGTCTGTCATTTCTCTGCAGGTTCCATCCTTCTCCCCATGATAGCAAAATAGTATACAGTGGTGCCTTGCAAGACGAAAATAATCCGTTCCGCGAGTCTCTTTGTCTAGCGGTTTTTTCGTCTTGGGAATCAACCCTATTAGCGGCTTAGCGGATTAGCACTATTAGCGGCTTAGTGGCTATTAAAGGCTTAGCGGCTTAGAGGCTAAAAGGCTATTAAAGGCTTAGCGGCTTAGAAAAAGGGGGGGAGCGAAAAAAATTGCAAGACTCGCAAGACGTTTTCGTCTTGCGAAGCAAGCCCATAGGGAAATTCGTCTTGCGAAGCGCATCGAAAAACGGAAAACCCTTTCGTCTAGCGGGTTTTTCGTCTTGCGAGGCATTCGTCTTGCGGGGCACCACTTTACAATTATGTAATTGTCATTTTATTCACTGTGGAAATGTGCAAGTTTTCCTTATTCACACATTTTATACAAGTTGCAGAATTTTATTAATTGCAGAATGCGTGTGCAGATATCACTGTAGAATATTTGTTTATTGGGCAGTGTGTATATTAGTATGGGTTGTCTCAAGAAAACTGAAACAGAAAAGTATTCAATTCCCTAAATGGATTGAGATCTAAGTTAGCCCATTTGTCTGGTAAATGAAGGTAGTAAAGTGTACTTTTACATGCTGTGTAAATATCCGATTTCTTCCCTAACACCAAAAAAAAAAAAAAAAAGAAAGAAAGAAAGAAAGAAAGAGAGAGAGAGAGAGAGAGAAAGGATGGCACTAGAAGCTTAACTGTTGTATCTGGTATCTACTGTGCTCTTCTGTTTATGGACAAATGGTTAGCCTAGCTGAGGCTTCCACTAACCGAAAAGGAGCAGAGGAAATTTTTGCCATTTCTGCCTTCTCCCCTCCCACACAGCTCTATACCATCTTCCACATTGTTCTGAAGATTCCCCCACCCCCTTGGAACACTTTTTCAGAGAACTGTATGGGAAAAGGTGAATTGGCAAAAAATTAATCCCCTTCTCTTCCATTTGTGAAGATTTCTCAGTTGGATAGCCCACATGATGTATTTATGGCATGACATAATTGACAAGAGGGTTGTCCTGACCAGCAGTCAAAATGCTTGTGGGGTTGCCAAGTGCTCCTGAGGGAAGTGAGAGAGAAAAGCTTGCATATTAAATTGCAGGCTTTTTTTCTCTCACTCCCCATAGCAGCATCATTGGATGAGCCAGCAGCAGAGAGGTGGGGTGAGGAGACCAAAGGGAGACTTTCCCCCCTTTGTTCTTATCCCCCAACCCACCCCCTGTGGAAGCAGCACTGGGAGGGCGAGGTTTCCATAGAATGGAAAATGTCTCACCATCAGTCCTTCAGCGAGGTGTGCAGATGAGTGGTTGGGAGTGCCCTGGTGTTCTTTTGAAGCCCCACCCTTACGCACGCCACACCTTACATCATCTGCAAAATGGCACCGTGGGCTAAATAGCAATGCTTGAGGTTTCCCAATCCTGGTTTAAAGTGACATGAGAACTGGTTAGTGTTGACCAGGCATCCCCAACCTTTGGGCCTCCAGATGTTTTGGACTACAATTCCCTGAACACCGGTCATGCTAGCTAGGGATCGTGGGAGTTGTAGGCCAAAACCTCTGGAGGGCTGCAGGTTGGGGATGCCTAGTGTTGACTGAATTGCATGAACCAATTGTCTGATGTGCTATAAGACAACTTCCACAGCTCCTGTTGTCTTGGCTAATATTTTTGTGTCTAATTCTGTGGGGTGCAATGAGCATGACTGGAGGAAGTGAAAAAAATATATCAATAAAATAACAGAAGTATTAAATACATAAAAGTGTTTGTTGGCACAGAAAATCCCCTAGTCTTCCTACTTCCCAAATGTTGATTGTAATCCACTCTTGGGCATTGCATTATATGACTCAGTGACTGGGGGGGGGGGAGGAAAGCACTCCAATAGAATAGAATAGAATCATTTATACTCATTTTTATTGAATTTATTGATTGCTTTTTTACCAAGGTAACAGAAAGTGGCTTACAGTATTTTATTATTGGCATTTATTGGCATAAGGTGGCTTACAATATGGCGTACAGCCATAAAAAAATCTAAAAGTCCGTGCTATTTTTAAAAGGAAAGATTAAAATATCCCACCCACTTAAGGAGGTCACAGATAAGTAAGAGCCAAAGGCCTGGCAAAAAAGAAATGTATTCACCTGGCACCTAAAGTTACGCAATAATGGCACCAGGCAAGCCCCCCTGGAATGAACATTCCATAAGTAGGGAGGCTCCACTGAAAAGGCTTGTTCTCATGTTGCCATGCTCCAGACCTACCAAGGAGGGGGGTCTACCAAGGAGCAAAGTGGGCTTTATGAAGTGGTGAAAGGATCTCAAGGGTGATAGTGTCAGCTCCCTGAGCCATTCATATGTTCCACAGGTGGACCAGTGCTTCTGGAAGCCAGTTATATCCATTAGCCTCCAGTGGCAGATCATCCTAATAGGTCCCTTGCCTCTGCAAAGTGGACAAGGTGCTGAAAGCCTAGATTTCAACAGGAAATGATCCTACCATGCCAAGGGACTGGTGTTAATATCCCCCACTTTCAGACCTCCCTCTAATTGCAAACTTAGTTATCTGAGTGGTGCTTCTTATACAGTATAGCCAAAACTGCTACAGCCAATGAATAATGTATCAGCAAGCCTAGGGGCAAACTGCAGAAGTCCAAAAAGCTTTAGGGGAAAAGGTGCTGGTGGTGGGAAAGAGAAAACAGCCTAATGAGAACTGAGCATATGCAGTGAGCAAAATATGTCTGGCTGGAACCCTGAACAGAAGAATTCCACACTGCAATGTTTTTTGCAGGTCCCACTTGAATGTCTGTTTATTTGATATTCATATAGAACATTTTTAATGGGAGAAATTCTGAAAGTAGCTTTTCCCCATGACATCTGATTTGTAAAATACAGTGGTGCCTCGCAAGACGAAATTAATCTGTTCCGCGAGTCTCTTCGTCTTGCGGTTTTTTCGTCTTGCGAAGCACGGCGCTTAGCGGCTCTTAGCGGCTATTAACGGCTTAGCGGCTTTAAGAAAAAGGAAACAAACTCGCAAGAACTCGCAAGACATTTCGTCTTGCGAAGCAAGCCCATAGGGAAATTCGTCTTGCGGAACGACTCAAAAAACGGAAAACCCTTTCGTCTAGCGAGTTTTTCGTCTTGTGAGGCATTCGTCTTGCGGTGCACCACTGTATTTGTAAAATATTTGCCCAAACTTGATAGCTGCTGTTAATTATATGCAGAGTAGACCAACTAAAATCAATGGGCTTACATAACTTTCATTGGTTGTACTTGGTTATCACTCACTGTCATTAATCACATCATCCTATACTTGAAATCAGTAAAATTTAGATAAACATTCAAAATGCCATTTTCAGTCATTACGCTTAAAATAATTTATTTGCTGTTTCAGTGTTCTTTATTTTAAACTAGGGAGCAATACATGGGTAAATGGCTTTTATTTCTTTTTAATGAATGCTGCAGGTTAGGTTCTTGTTTTGAGCAGAGTTTTACATTTGCCATGTTTCCCATCATGCAGGGAATGTTGTTTGAAAATAAACGCTGAAGAACATGTGACTGTCCAACTTTATTGAGAAAGGCTAGGATGAACATATCCATTCTCCCCTTGCAGTCTCAGTGCCAGACGTTAGACACAGGCGGCTGCAACAGCTGACACTGCTAGGGGGCTCTACAGTTCCGGCAAAGCTCTTCTGAGTTCACAACTCATACAAGCTCTCTCCTTAGCTGCTCTCTATGGCTCTCCTGACCTCTAGGGGTTCACTTCCTGTTGGAAGTGCTTCTTTTCCTGCAGCAGGTATATGCAGCAGGCTGGCTCTTTGTTACCCACTGCACTCCTCTCTCCCTAGATGCTTCGAAGGTAGGAATCAATGAATTGCTTTTATGATTCTGCAAACACAACCCTGGGAAGGGCTTGAAGATGGAATGTCCACTGTATTTTATGCTAAACAATGTTTTCCAGACCTGGGAGGGGCAATGGGATTCACTTGCTAGTTGAACACCTCCCCCCCCCCCATCAGTGTTTCTGACTTTATATTTAATCTTAATTGGCCAGGGCTCAAGAATATCTGACTTTTGTGTGCTATTACAAAAAAATATTTATCTATTACTTACACTCCCAGGAATGGTATGCTTGGAGGCATTCTGTACAAAAGTTGAATTTTTTTAAAAAAGTTACATTTCTATAGTTTCTCTCTGTGCACCCCCCCCCAGTAAATAAACCTTGTAGTACAATGAGCAGAAAGAAATCCAGGAAGGCATAGTATTATTTCAAGCATCTAAGAACTTGTAATTGTGGTGGAAGTTGATAGCAACTGGATAATGATGTTTTTAAAAATAAAGTTGAACCATGTTAGTTTTTCATAATGAACTCAAACAGATAGCTTATCTGCTCATATTCATAGAAAATTTAATTGAATATGTGATGTCTTGATAATGTAGAAATATTTTACAGTTAGTTGTAAAATTGAAATGCTGTCAAATATTTTGGGGCTCAAAATAGGTAGTGTTTAAAACCAGCAGAAAATAATATAATGAAACAAAATTGTATATTGTATTGAAATATGTCAATAATGTGTTTGCTTACTAATCATATTCTTAGTATTTATATATTGCTCTTTCCAAGTATAGATCCCATTATCCTTAGGATTATTTTTAGGTTTCAAAAAATTATTTACTGTTCCCCAATTTGAGAACTCTTTGTATTCCTCCAGAGTTCTATAAAATCAGTCGAAAAGCCCTGTAAGGTAGGCCATTATAATTTCCCACATACTGCAGATGGGGATTAAAGAGCAAATAAGAGTGGTTTGCTAGTAATTTGATGGTTGAGGTAAATTAAATCCAGTGTTTCACACACAAAACTTCTTCTTTTCTTTCCTGCCAGACAACGGTAGCCACCTGACTTAACCTTCAGTTTTCAAAGAGTCTTATCCTAGCCATAGAAAATGATCAAGCCTGGGCTTGGAGAAACATTTGGGGAGCGAATTCCCATCGTTGTGAGGTAACTGCCAATAGTACATTGTTGAGAGCCCTTGTTGTGTGGATATGGTACCCGATATTTTTTTTAATAAAGGGGTAGATATGAATGGCTGTTGTGGGCTATGGAAAAGGGGGCTGTTTTGGAGTGAAACAGACTTTATTTTGTTGCTGTCTTCTATTGCTTATCCCATCTTTCATTGTGGAACCCAAGGTTTTAAAGACTAGCATTGCATATTGTGCTCAGAAGACAAAGGAAAGCTGAAGCAGTGGTATTACTGCTACCGATGACCCAGGCCACTTAAGGAAACAAGCCACTCCATTTTGCCCTAGCTTAATATAAACAGTATTTTTAGGACATTATTATTATTTGTGTTCTCATGGGCTGTGGCCAGTTTAACGGAACACCCTTTAACTTTATAGTAGTAACAATATTACCTTTAGCAATTGTAATAATGGTTCAGCATTTTTGGAGCGATCAAAGATGCACATGACCCAATAATCATTTCAGATTTCAAGGCCATTTTAAAAATCAGTTACAGGATACTGGGGGTACTGTCTGCTTGCATTTTTCCAGCAGTTGTTCTCTTGTATCTTAAGTTTGCCAGGGTATTTCTCCTGTGATGGTGATTGCTAGTTGTTTTGTGGGGAGGGGATTCAAGTTTTACACTAGAGCCTGGATTTCACACATCGTGTAAATTATAGCAGGTAACTTAATGCTACATCTCTACATCATCCCCATCCTAGCTTGTCTCATGCGTCTCATTGTTCTTCTGAAATTAAACTTACACATGCATGCTCACATTCCCCCCCCCCTTTTCTTCAGCCTCCCTCTGATTTTTTCCCATCTCCATTGTCTAAAGATAGGGCTAAAACAGACATGATGTAGAAAATCTGTGATTGGACCTCTGCACTTTTTATCACACTCAAAAGCAGGTGTAAGGGGCTCCTATTTCAGTTGCAGTCATGGTGCTGGGAGAGGAATTGAATCCTTCTGTACAGGAATGCTGCATAAATAGGTCTCAAAAGCTGTTTTTCACCTTGTAGCAATAAAGATCTTCCCTTCTCTCCAAGCTATGAAGCCCGCTGGGTGACCTTGGGCCAGTCACTATCATTTGGTCGTAGGATGGTTGAGAGTATAAAATGGGTGGAAAATCTTGTACACCACCCTGAGCATCTTGGAGGAAGGGTAGGATAAAAGTGTTTTGATTTCTTTTTAAGACACATGCAGCAGCAGCAAACAACAATAACAATTTGTTACTCGCTTTTTATCCTAAGATCACAGTAATTTAAGATACAGCATTGAAAACTTTCTAAAACTAATTATATTCCCAATAATAGGGTGACAGTTGTAGTCTAAAACACATGTAGGGCACCAGGTTGTTGGAGGCTATGCTACACCACTTTGTGCAACTGAGTTTATATTAATCAAAAAAATCTTTGAGACAGAAAATCAAGATGTGTTTACATAGGAAGAGAGATGGTTAATGGCCGTTGACTTTGCACATGACAGAACACTGAAAGGATGAGAGGGAAGGGGAAAAGAAAGGGGATTCAAGTCAATGTAAACTTTACTCAGAAATCAACACTATACCTTGAGAAACATGGATGGGAGATTGCAGCTGCAGAAACTATAAACTCTAGTGCATTATTCCGATGTTTGTATGCCCTACTGGTAATTCTGGACATGATTCTGGAGCCACCTCTCAGTGGTGAAATTATTTTGCTTTCTATTGCCTGGAGTTTAGGTGCATGTGGTTGTCAATTATTGGCCCTAGTTGCTACGGTGTGAAGATGACTCCTAGAACTAGACCAGATTTGTCTGTGCCTGCTGACTGAACATAATGAAGTTTAAAGCCATCTTCTTCTTTTTGTAGTAGTAGTAGTAGTAGTAGTAGTAAATCAGATGCCATGGGGTTACCGGTTTAAAATAAGCATTATTTTTAAGATCTTCTGGACCAAACTTTCTGCACACGCCTTATGTAGCACTGTGAATTGCATTTCATTCTGCCACATGCAACCTTTGTAGTGAAGTATAGAGTTTATATTGTGAATGAAAGTACACATATTGCTAAGAACTACCCATTATATTCAAAAATTAATAATTCTAAAACAAAATACTTTGTTTAATTTTCCTTCATTTGCACATTCTAAATATCTTAATGTATATTAAATTAATAGTTTCAAGAAGCAAATGTTGCTGGAACCATTTTATTTGCATCCCAATATTCATTCATTCATTTTATTTGTATGCTGCTTTTCCACACACAAAATCATGCTCAAAGCAGCTTACAACAGAGAAAACAGGAATTCACTTCAAGCAAACACTACAAAAACAATTTTATAATAGCATAGCAAAGCAATGACATAGTAACCATTTCATATAACATAGCACAACAGTAGCAAATATAATAACATACAAAAAGCCACATTTCAAGATTACTTAAACATACAGCATCCAACAGCAAAAGTAACAACTATGTCATATTGAGTTCATGTACATACTGGTTGTTGGGAATATTGGTCCTCTGTTCTTAATTTACTTCGTGTTACAACATTGTTAAAAATTAAGGTGCAAACTCAAGATTCTATGAATCTTGGAGGAAGGATGTTGGGACCTGTCAGTCAGTAGTGATAATTTGTATCATTTTTCACAGTAATTGTTTACCCTTCAAGTGTAAAAAAATCACTGTTAGTGTTGGGGGATAATTTTGTATATCATAAAACTACATTGTTACCCTTGGCAGACAAGCCAGGAGCCAGATTACCCTTGGTAGAGAAGTCAACTCTCCTCTTTGCCATTGATGCCTACTTAGTATGAAACTCACACATGCATGGGCTTATTTTAGGTGAGATATAGGCTGGATGAGTTTGAAATGCTTGGTGCTGAAGCAAACTGCTTTGTGTCTTATTCTGCTCTGATGTTCTTTTGTTTTTTAGCAGCTTCTTGAGTTTATTGTTACTTTTTTGACTCAAATGTACTGTGGTGTATCACAAGGTTGATAATAAGGCCCAACCATAATTCAGAATATACTGCAACTGTTTTAGAGATATGCTAAATATGACTAAGTGTGCTGCCTCAGTAGAATCAACACTAAATATTTTTAACCAGACTTGAATATTATTCTTTTAGCATCTGGAGTAAAATACAAAGAAGAAAAAATGCCATCGGAGCAACAAAGAAAGCGACAGAAGAGACATAGATACTACCACCTCAAAAAGCTAAAAGGGGTGAGGAGAAATATTGCAGAGACCACACATTAAATCAGAGATACATCAGATAATAAACTTAAGAAATATAGCCAAAATTTAAAAATTAGGCTAACGTTGCTAAAAGAAATAGGACAAAATGTGTCCTGAGGGGAAATAAGGTGTGGTCTAAAAAGCATCTATGATCAAAAGACAAAAAAGGGACAAGGGAGGGGGAGCAGGGAGATAGATTTTAAAGCTTGTCTTTTCTTTAAAAATGCCCTATACAGTGGTACCTCGGGTTAAGTACTTAATTTGTTCCGGAGGTCCGTTCTTAACCTGAAACTGTTCTTAACCTGAAGCACCACTTTAGCTAATGGGGTCTCCTGCTGCTGCTGTACCGCCGGAGCATGATTTCTGTTCTCATTCTGAAGCAAAGTTCTTAACCCGAGGTATTATTTCTGGGTTAGTGCTGTCTGTAACCTGAAGCGTATGTAACCTGAAGTGTATGTAACCCGAGGTACCACTGTACTTTGTGCCCCTTACTACAGTATAGCTAATGTTATGAGGAATTCTTTTGGATCTCTAAAATCAGTCATAACAAAATTTCAAATAAGGTTATATCTAAAACAATTTGTTACTCATACAGACAATTTAGCAGTGCAGATTAGATAAGAGCCGGATAAATTTTAGGTAGGCATTCTGAAAGACTAAAACAACTGTAAACTGTAAAGAGTATTTATATACTGCTCACTCACATAAAATATCACAGTAATATATGCAAATACTATAACACATAAAATGCCATACAAAAGAATTACAAGAATGTCTCATCTTAAAGAAGAAATTAAACAATTGAATAGTCCTTTATAGTGATTACTGTCATCACTGTAAATTATTTTTATGAATCATGTTCTCAGTAACAAAAACAGAAGTAGCTTTACTAGAAAACTGAATACAGATGAGCTCATGTATTACCAATCAAAATACAGAAAATGATTTGTGTACAGAAATATAGTTTGTACTTTATTGTGCAAAAGGCCGCAAAACTCCATGATGATTCTGAGCTGGCTCGTACATAATGCTAAGCCAGACTGTGTTTAGCATGAATGCATGTGCATGCAGACTCCCGGAGAGGAGATTGTGAGCACTTTGCTCCTCTGGTCCTGCTGCTGCTCTGCTGTGAAGTAAGCTATGGTTTGGCTTAGCAGGTCCAAACTTGGGCTCCTGGTTTGCCTCATTCTAGACAGATTGTGAGCTGTAAGCAAAGTTCTTAGTTTTACAGCTTTCGGGAGAAGAAAAACTATGAGCCTAAGTTTAGACAACATGCTATAAGACAAACTCTGGCAGTGCAGCAGCAAGAGCACTAGGCAAGGATCATGAATGTGATCTCTCAGTCACACTTAGACATGTGCACTAAGACATAGTCTGGCTTAGCATTACATCTGAACCATCTTAGGAGATTTGGTTAAATATTGTTGATGAAAAATAAATAAAATGCTTGGTTCTGTTCATGATGGTAGAACTGAAAAATTAAAAAAGAGCACTCGAGTCAGTGCTATCACAGAGTTCAGTATAATGATCATTCTTTGAGTTTAAGGATATTCAGTATACACTATTTACATTAGCTAGAAGATCAGTAATTAGTACAGGAAAGAGAGATAAAATTAAGGACTTCATTACATATGAGCTGAGCCCGAAGATAAACCTAAGCTCATATTCTCAGTCATAGAAGCTTGTGAGAAATGCAAAGCTCTGTTGAGTTTAGTGCTCCATCCTGTAGTATTGCTCACATGTCAAGTCTTATGTGGGAATTAGTGGTCACAAAATATTGGATCTAATCAAGTTAAGGTAAAGGGACCCCTGACCGTTAGTTCCAGTCGTGGACGACTCTGGGGGTTGTGTGCTCATCTCGCTTTACTGGCCGAAGGAGCCGGTGTTTGTCTGCAGACAGCTTCTGAGTCATGTGGCCAGCATGACTCAGCCGCTTCTGGTGAACCAGAGCAATGCATGGAAACGCCGTTTACCTTCCCGCCAGAGCAGTACCTATTTATCTACTTGCACTTTGACATGCTTTCAAACTGCTAGGTTGGCAGGAGCAGGGACCGAGCAATGGGAGCCCACCCTGTTACAAGACTATAATTCAAGCAAATTTGGAAAGTATAATGCTCACAATGTGTTGTACAAAATGCGTTGTACCAGAGACAGAAGTGAACTGTAGAGCAGGGATCAGCAACCTAAGGCCCATGGGCCACCCCCGCTGCCCGCTCAGTCGGCTCCTGTGTGCCATACTAAACCGGCATGGAGCAGAGTGGGGAACCGCCTTCTGCAATGCTGGCCGACTTCCCATTGGCTGCAGGAAGCTCCTTCAGCCAATGGGAAGCTGCGCATGCCTCCTCCACGCTGGAAATAGCGTTTGCGCATGTGTGCACGCACACACACTCTGGCCCGCCGCGGCATCTGTAGGACCGTGAACCGGCCCAAGCCACAAAAACTTTGCTGACCCCTGATGTAAAGCAAGGGGATGGAGCAACTCTGCTATGAAGATGGGTTACATTTGTAGCTTTTTAACTAAAGAAAATAGGTGATGGTGGGGACACAATTGAGTTGTATGAGAACATGCATGGATAGTGGATAGGGAAATGTTTTTCTCATAATGCCAGAACCTACTTCATCTAGTGAAGCTGAATATCGGAAGATTCCAGTTAGACAAAAGCAGACTTGTTCACACATTGCATAAACTCCTGATTTCGTTTTCACATAAGGTAGTGACAGTCCCCAACTTGGGTTGCATTAAAAGAGAATTAGACAAATTCACGGAGGAGAATGCTATGAGTGGCTACTAACCACAATGGCTATGTCCTGCTTCCACTGTTGGAGGCAGTACATCTCTGAATTCCTGTTGCAGGATGTCATAAGTGAGGAGAGTGCTATTGCATCCCTGTCCTGCCTATGGCCTTCCCGTAGGCATCTGGTTGGCTAATGTGAAAACAATTTGGTCCAGATGGGCCTTTGGCCTGATCCAGCAAGGCTCTTCTTATACTCAGTGCAGCATTGGTAGTGTGATTATCCCGTAAACTGTTTTATGCTCCCAGTGGAGCACATGGATAAAGTATTGAAAGTTAGGTCTTGACACTGCTGCCTTTCTACAGAGCCTCATTAAGCCTTTACTACTTTTAATCATAGATGAAACTAGCATCGTGTCTAATATGTTTGCTTTTATTCATCTACAATTACAAGAAATTGGCCTGGTTCCCCTGAATTTCTGATATTGCATCTGAATGCACCTGGTCTTTCTGAAAGATTTTTGACAGCTGAAAGTCTGACAAACCTCAAGGTATCACAAACATTTAATCTCCTTATTACTGGCGGCTGTACGCTTAGAAGTTGCTCAAAACTGGAAAGCCCCAGATGGGCCCTCCAAAGAGAGATGGTGGTCAAGAATATGGGATATTGCTCTTTCAGAGCACTCATGTTATCACCATGCATTAAGGGTTTGGCAAAACATGATAACTTTGTCATCTGGTTTCTGTTTATAAGCTTTATTAATAAATATAATGCTGGCTATTGGTACCCAGTGACTCATGGTTTATGTTGGAATGGATATTTTATGTTCATCTCGTTTTGATATATGTCTCACAGTGTTACGTTTCAGTACATCACACCCTTGTTGTAATTGTAAATCTGGCTGCTAAACCTTTGTTACCTGTTATACTGTTTACATTATAACCAATAAAACTAAATACAAATACAAAAAAAGAATGTCCATATATGGCCTGCAGTTTTATCATGGTTTGTTTTCTGGCAACAAACCAGCATGAGAAACCATGGCTTGTTTAAACTATGGTTTAATGCTCTGTCTGAATCCACTGGTCTTGTTTAACTGTTGTTTGTTAGAACACCCCACCCCATATGCTTGCTAAGCTACAGACACATCAGCAGCTGGAAAACAAAGCAAGCTCTGGGGAAACAAGCCATAAATTGTTTACTTATCTGTGAGACATATTTGCTGAAGAAACCATGATTGGTTTCCCTAGCTATGGCTTTGCCTTGAATGTGAGCTTAGCCATTTTAATGATGACCAATAATGTTTTATTGGATAGTATCATTTTTGGAAACATGCTGCAAAAGAGCAATCCTTTCTTTTGAACATTAACAAGTGGAGCCATAACACAAGTGACTTCAGTATCTGATGTTTCTTCATCTGTGATTGAAGAATTAACAAAGTCTGTCAGAGTGAAGATGAATGAGTATGTTTGGTTGTTGGATAGGTACATGAGGGTAGGTAAATTTACTTTGGAATACAAAGCAGAATCGGACCAGAGATTATAACTTTGAAAAAAAATGAATCAGAAATTAATGTTAATTGGAAGATGATGTTCCTAGAACTATAGATTTAGAGACTATTTTCAAAGTGTGCATAAATACCTATGTTATGTTCAGGAGAAATTGACACACTGGTAGAAGATAAGTTAACAGTGCTATGGGGGACACTGCAGGTTTGAAATATAAAAGCCAAAACATGAGTGTATATTCCCTGGCCAGTATGACAGAGTATTTCCTGACTAATGGCATCTGTTAAAAGCAGACAGAGCAGAGAATAGTCAAATTTTAAAATACCAGAACACAAAATTATATGCAGGACTTAAGTTTTCATTAATGAGAGAAACACATGTTATGAGGAAACAGTTTCCTCTCACAATGTCATATTTTGATCATGTTGTGTACCAATTAATTTCCCTAGGCTCTAAAGCTTTTCTCGCTGTTCCACTGCTGTGCCTTGTGAAAATCTGATCTTACCCACTGAATTGAAGCTCGGTTAAGCAGAATCTCTTCAAATCTGATCAGATCTGATTCAGCGGGTAAGATTAATACAATCAAAATACGGGCCAAGTGAAAGTGTAGTTAAACTTATTCTGTTATAATATTTTCTACTTTGCTTGTATAGATAGCTAGTTGTATTCATCACTTGTCCATTTTACAGTGTGTTCTAGTTTGCTAACACTTGTATTGCTAACACTTATACTGCTGGTCTAACTTGATATTATCTATGAGACCCTGTGAGTGCCTTTTAGAGGGGGAAAAGCACTGGTCTACAAATCCACTGAAATGTGAATAAGTAGGCCGCTACATTCCTCACCTGTCAGTGTACCTCTTTGGGTAGATTATTTTCAAAAAATGCTTTGACATTTTTAATTACCAGAAACCATTGTTATGGCACTAGGAAGCACAGCTACAAGTACCGCGCCATGTTAGTAACAGTACCATTCTCAACCTTACTATGTTAGAGGCAGCAGTGCAGGCAGGGTGGTATTGCGTGCCTGGCTTCCCAATTCTGATTCTCACTTCCGCTTACTGGGAGGATGAGGTGTGCATAGCTTGGTGTAGGTGCAACAACAGGAACAGCAGATTGGCTCCTTACTGAGCTCTCCTTGCCTTGACCCTCTCCCTCTTGGTAAACAGCAGTAGTGTTCAGCATTGGAATGCCAGGTTTGTAACACTACTTTGCCTGCACCATACAATCAAACACAGGTGATCAGAGGAGAACCATCTCTCACTGTTTAACTGCTGTTAAACAGAGAAACCACCTCCTGCCAGCTATTGAAACAAGAAACTGGCATTTGTCAACTAGGATTCCTCTAGTAATACATTAAGGTTCAGAAACTTCATTTGGAATCACAGGACCAGGTCAATGTGGGTATTCTCTCTGGTTCCATTCTCCCCATTTGGATATGGACCTGAAAAACCATAGGAAAATGTAGGTGCATAGAGAATTGTAAGCAAACAAAATTTGTGACAGTCCTGCATTGTTACTAATCACAGGGCATGGGGTGGGCCATCTGCAAACTTCCAATTTCTGAACTTTGTTGAGGGTGCACCATCAGGAAATAACATCTTTTAAACCACCAGGTTTTTTTTTTTAAAAAAAAATGGATTATCAACAGTTGCTAAATCTTTTCATGTTGTGAATGAATCTATTTTTGGTTAACCCTTAATGGTCATTTTATGCCTTTCTGTATAAATTAAGACAGTCTTGGTAGGAATAGATACTCTGTTTCTTTCATTTGTGTAGAAGGCTGAATTGTAAGATAGCTGCATTATAAAGTTGTGAGTTTTTGCACTGGGAATTTGGTAACTGGAAGAGGAAAATACTTTTCTCCTATCATGTATTTTTGTGTTTCATATTGTAAACCGCCCTGTGATTCTTGAATGAAGGAGCGGCATAGAAATTTAATATATAGATAAATAAATGAAAAATTATGTGAATAAACCAGAATAATTATATATTTCCTTTTCTCTTTGCAGTATGAAGACAAAGCTGATGCAGTTTTTGGGAGTATAGCAGAAAAACGTAAGTGCTTCTTTTATTTGTTTATTTACAAAAGATTCCTTCCTCCTCAGAAACTCCTTTCTTTATGAGCTAAAAGTTTCTGTCCCTTTCTTAAAAGATGCCAGAATCCCAGTCAGATGGCTTAAGTCCAGTCATTAAGTGGTGGGCTTGTAAGTAACAAAAAATATTCCAGATCATTAACTAATAACCCAGTTTGGTAGCTACTACATGTATTTCAAAACTCTGATACTGACACTTTGCAAAACTGTTGGGGGGGAATGCATTCTCCACCCATCTGCAGTAATTGTGGCAATTCCTGATAACCCCACAGAGAACTCTAAAATTGTGGAACGTTGCAAATTAAGAGTAGTAAGAACTAGGATGTCTGGTGAGTCAGTAAGTAGCTGTATATTGGAGGACACAAACACACACTGACCACATGTAGGCTAATAGTGTTTAAAATGGCTGTATAGACCAAAGAAAGCTATCTTAAGGTCTTGGCACAAAGCTTTCTAAAATTGTCAAATAGTGTGCAGCCTTAAAGGTGAAATGAGTGCCCCATTTTGGTTGTTATACTAGTTCATGGTCAAGTCTTAAGGGTGCAGCATAAATCATGGTTTGACCCTGGCTTGTTACAATGAACTCTAGTTTATGTTAACTACAGTCTGTACTTTTTGGACATAACAGCAAATTGTTGGGGCAAGGGTGAGGAGGAAGACTGGAACTAGGAATTTTTGAGAATGGTAAGAACATTGTTAATTGTTTCTTCTCAGCATACTGGAACTTTGAGTCCTCCAAAGAAGTTGATCAGCAGTATGTTCATGACAGATTTAGGACATTATTCCATCCCCTAAAGCAGGCATGTCCAAAGTCTATTTTGGGGGCCTAATCTCGCCCGCCGGTTGGTTTAATCCGGCCCCTGTGGCAGTTCATTTCCTGGGGTAAAATCCTAAAAAAAGGTCGGCAACTTTGGTTGGCCCTTTAGTCAGCCTCCACAGCCCTTCACTTCATCAAATCTGGCCCTCTTTGAAAAAAGTTTGGACACCACTGCCCTAAAGTGTAATAAATACATTGGGGCACACATAAATATTTTTTTTTATTAAGTCTCCTTCCCTCTTTCACATCCGGTCACAAGGTTGCAAAAAGCAACTTTTGAAATACAAAACATCAAAATTACAAGCTGTAATATCCAGCTGAAAGCCCAAAACAATATCCTCATCCTTATATTTGCTTCCATATTGTAAATATGTTGGTTTTGGAAAGCATCTTATTCTTCTTCCTTCTCCAGGTGGTGAGCTTGTACCTACAGAAATGTCTGAGAAAACTGTTCACAACCTAACCCCTGCCTTCGACAGCATACCGTACAGAATGCAGAATCGAACAGGATCTACAAACTCCTTGCTGGTTGACAGTGATTACTTCTTGAACTCTGGGGATCTTACAGGGATTCCTATTGTTGGGAGTGACAATGAGGATGAGCAAACTTTTCCGGCAAAGGATAGCCTCCCTTCGCGCCCTGAAGATAGTCGGGGAGATATGAGGAGGGTTCGGGATCATGCAGTGGACAATGAGAAAGACACACAGATGCAAAATGTGATTCAGAAAGACCTCTCTTCCCCTTTTGACAAAGGGCCCTCTGTATTTAAGTCTGTTCGGAAAGATTTTAGCATAGGAAGAGATGATGCTAAAGATATTTTTTTGACAAAGGAGAAAGCCAGAGAAGGACCTTTTCAGGAGCATGACAAACGATTGGAAAAAATGCCGAAGGAAATGGATTCCAGATTGAAAAGCAGTTTCCTCGATAAATCAGGTAACACTTTGTTTGCTAAGGTTAAGCAGAGAGCAAACCTTAGGGTTTAGATTAAACTTAATGACTTTCTGCTTATTTCAGTGAAACATCTTCAAATAAATTCCCAGTGGATTACACACCATGGGACAGATTTGTCTGCCACGCTTAATGGCACTCACTTTGCCTCATGGATGGCTGCATCTGGTTGACATACTCAGTTCCATCCACTTTTGAAAAAACTCATGAACAAATAGTACATCAGTGTTGGGGACTTCTGGACTGGAGACTTAATTAGACCTGGCAAGGGTTCTAATTTGGCCCCTGAGTCCATTTCCCCCAAACCATGCTGACCAGTCTTACACCTGATGACATAATATGGGGCAGCTAAGTATTTTGCTGCAAAGGAATATTTTTTAAAAAAATTTAACATGTGCTCCCAATTGTTCCTTGACAAGTGGGGTTCACTGACAGTGCTGTTCAACTGATTGGTGCTGACAGTGAGTGAAGTTGTTGCATGATGTTGGTTGATTGCCCACCTGTGGTTGGAGTGGGTGGAGAAATCAGAAGATCAGGATCAGGCCTGCCAGCCGAATGCAGTTCCCCACCCCTGCATCGCTGCAGTAGTCCACAGATTGCAGTGAATTGCTTTCCAAAGGGATGCTAATTGAATATGTTTTTCCCTAGTTACTAATCAAGTGGATGAAACATTACGGACACAGTTGGCACCACAAACACCAGAAACTAACTTCAGGGTAAGTCGTGGGCCTTTATTTGATTGGCATATCAAAGTGCATTTTTTTTGGAATAGAAATATTGTAGAGATTTTGTTGTGCTGCTGCTGAATCCTCTGCTAATATTTGGCTAAGTTGCCATAATGTCACAGAATGGTGGAGCTAGTTGAAGGGTCCTGGACTGTCATTCGCTGAGCTGCTCTGATAGGGGCAAAGTAGAAGATGTTTCCTGACCTAGAAACTCAGGGTAACAAGGACAAGAGGAGAGGTCATGGGGAAAGCTGCCAGAAAAGAGAAAAACTGGGAAAGTGGACTGTAGCTAAATTCAAAGGTAACTGGGGAAATTGTCTCCCAAATGTGTATGCTGCTGAAGTTACTGTTCTTGTGTGCTAGGAGTCTAGCTACCTGTTTGCTAATAAGGAATCCGTTGGTCAAGAGCTGGGGAATTCCTATGCACCAAATATTAGAATTAAGGAAGAGCCTTTGGACAATGACTACGATAAAGCTATTGCACCTCAGCAGGGGCTGCTGAACAAAATTAAGGATGAACCAGATAATACTGAGGTAAGATGGGACATAAACTGCCTAGCCTTGACCTGTCTCTGTGTTATAAGTGCAGCATTGGCAGCTGGGTTAAAGCTGTATGGTGAAGATATTGAGTGGTAGTAGGGGTGGGGTTGCATCTCTGTTCTTAGCTCATTGGATGCTTTTATAGTTGCCTTTAGAATAACTCTTTATATGGAAAAGTGCAGTATCTTGGATGCATGTATAAGTGGCGCAGGGGCATGGAGGAGAGTAAAAGTAGGGATGGAGTTTGGTGAGCCATTACCATCAAATGTGGCTGACATCAGCATACTGCATAGGGAAAGTGATCTGTCATGGCATCCAACCCAGTGGAGCATTATTTTATTATACATCACCTTGAGATGTTTATTTATTTTTATTCATTTTAATTTCTATATCGCTTTACATTTTTAATAAAAATCTCAAAGTGGTTTACAGCATATTAAATCAATAAAACAATAGCCGGACGATGTTCCTCCGGCCTCATGAGGAGCTTCTTTCTAGGGCTGGTGAGTTTGGGCCCCACCCCCTAGGCCAGGTGGAAGGTGTCTTGCAGGGAGCGACCTTCACACTCACAGCCAGGCAATGTTCCTCCGGCCTCATGAGGAGCCTCTTCAGTAGGGCTGGTGAGTCTGGGCCTTGCAGAAGGTGATTAGTAAATGAATTGTTAATTATTGTACTGGAGTTTGAGCACAATTATTTCAAATGTGGCCCAGGATTTACACGATAGATTGAGTACTGGTGATCACAGTGGCTGGAATTTTACCTGTAGCTGTTTTGTTTCAGGAATATGGCCAGCAGCCAAAAACTCAGGAAGGGGAACTGAAGATCAGTGCTGTGTTTTCAGTCAGTGGCAGCCCTCTTGGTAAGGAAAAGGCTTGTGCTTGCCCCTCCTGTTCTTCAGATGGCTATGCCATCCTTCAGCAATGCTACCAGGGAAATTTACAAAAGCAAGATAAATAACAGAAATCAAAAGAGAACTTTAAAATAGATTATAGCATTAAAAGCCTAGGGACATTTTAAAAAGGCTTTGCCAAAAGAAATTGTTTCATAATTTGTTAACAGCTGCCAGATTAGTGATAGCACAGACATGAAAATCTATTGAATCCTCTGCAGAAGAGGATTGGGTGCAGACAGTTTGGGATTTATTAATTATGGATAAGTCGCTCAGCGCAGAAAATCAGGACTCAGAAAGGGAGACAGAAAACTGATAATTTAATGGGGCATTGGTGGCCAGTAATTTGACTTCTTCCTCTTCATAAGTCCGGTTTCCAAAGTAGTACATAACTATATACTAATTGCCTTGGAAGAAATGGCTTTCTGTATTTTGTTTGAGCAAATGAGCAGAAGGGTAATAGTAGTGATTTGTTTATTTTATATAGGGAGGGAGGCAGAGTTCTTTTTTATGTTTTATGTATTATCAGTTATTAAAAGTCAGTAATACATTACAAAAAAAAATAGCAACATTGGCCCCAGGCAAACTTCTCTGGGGAGGGACTTCTAAAAATGAGGTGCAACAACCAAGAAGCTCCTCCCCACCTCTGGTCGCCGCCTGCTTCTGAGGTGGAGGTGGAATACCCAGAGGAGAGCCTCTGAAGATATCCTCAATAGCAGCATATCTCTTTCCTCTCTTCTTGGTAAGCTCCACAGCTGACTTCCAATTTCCCACCTAACACACCATCCTCTGGCATGAACAAACTGCTTCCTTCAGTCCCGAGTACGGCTGTTCGGGTTTCCTGTTCAGGCTGTAAGAAGATCCTACAGAAGGGGCAAACAGCCTATCAGAGGAAAGGCTCCACTCAGCTCTTCTGCTCCACACTGTGCCTCACAGGATATACTGTACCAGCCACAAGACCACCAGCTTCTTCCAAGAAAACCTGTTCCAGCTGCTCAAAGTAAGGGCTCTGAGGCTTTGAAATGTGCTACAAATCATTCTGAATCGTTTGTGGGGAGTTTAGAAGGCATTGTGTCAAGTACATGTTATCTCACACTTCCCTTTGCTGCAGAAAGTCCACTTTGGGTGGGTGGGGTTTGGGGGGAGAGGTTTGTTGCATAAGAGCATCAACTCAGTTTTGTAACTTGGATTTGCTGGGATGTGATTGAATTCCACCCCAAATGTTGTGACAGTCTGGAAGCACCCATGTACTCAAGTCAATAAAAATAAAATGCTTGCAAAGCAGACTTTTGACACTGACGATCAGCAGAAGGAATGGGAAAAATCTTAGCCTTTTTTGCTTTTTATTCTTTTTTGTGAAAGGGGAAAGAAACATAGCACTAATATTATTATTTTGTAAACAGCCCTGGGAATGTAATTTGAATGGATGCGGGTGGCGTTGTGGTCTAAACCACTGAGCCTCTTGGGCTTCCCGATCAGAAGGTCAGTGGTTTGAACTTGCATGATGGTTGTGAGCTCCTGTTGCTCTGTGCCAGCTTCTGTCAACCTAGCAGTTCAAAAGCACACCAGTTCAAGTAGATAAATATGTACCGCTGCGGCGGGAAGGTAAAAGGCATTTCCATGCACTCTGGTTTCTGTCACGAAGCAGTTTAGTCCTGCTGGCCACATGACCTGGAAAGCTGTTTGTGGACAAATGCCGGCTCCCTTAGCCTGAAGTGAGATGAGTGCCACACCCCATAGTCGCCTTTGACTGGACTTAACAATCTTTTATAAAGATAGATAGATAAATTTTGAAGACATGTTCTGGTTGTGGGAGTGTTGATACAGAGCTTGTGCATCCCTGGAAGTACCCATGAAGTAACTGAAGCTTGCCCTGGGTTTACTTCTGTGATTCAGGTGTAGTCAGGCCAGGTCACACTCATTGGTACCACTTGATCCATTTGTAAAGTGGAACATGCTAGCTAAACAGATCACAACCACTATGCTGACATTTGGTATTGTAGAGAACCTCACTGGTCTGTGGAGGATGTAAATTTGTGGTTGTGAAAGTTGAACACCTGATTTCTTCCTCTTTCAAAACTGTGTAGGGAAATTCTGAATCCAAAGGATGTGATTACTGCTCAGTTTGACAACACTAACTCCAGCAAGGACTTCTGCAGCCAGTCGTGTCTATCCATGTATGAGCTGAAAAGGAAGCCTGTCGTCACCATTCACACAAACAGTATTTCCACCAAGTGCAGCATGTGCCAGAAGAATGCAGTGGTAACTGAAATCGCAAACCCTTTTTCTAAATGTTTGGTTGGTCAGGATGCCAGGTGATTAGTGAATCGGCTTTCGGTGTGGGAAAAGCCACATTCAGTGCTCACTCAGCCATGAAGCTCTGCATATTGCTTTCATCAAATCACTACCTTGTCTAACTTCATTGGTTGGTTTCCAAGTTGCAAATTATAAAGAGCACTTTGTACATCTGCACGTGTGAGGGTGAGGGCAGTTATAGCCACCATGCAATAGAATCCAGTTCCAAAGAAGAGTCCTATTTTCTGAAGTTTTGGAGTTTGCTGTCACCAGTATGCAGATGGCATTCTCCTCTTATCACTTGCATCTTGAACCAAGGAGGCCATTGAACTTCTGAACCAGTGTCTGGAATCAGTAATGGGTTAGGATGTGAGCAAGCAAGCTGTGATGGGGAAGGCTGTGCTAAAGTCTACTTCTTGCATATAATATTGTTTCCCACCCTCAACCCCAAGTTTCTACTGCATCATTCCAGTGGAATGATTCTCCTGAATCACTGAAATTCTTTGCCTTTGTGGTTCAGAAAAGCAAAAATGGGTTTGCTCGGTTGCTTAATTTTTAATCAGAATTCACGATGAAACAAAACTTGTAGCAAGTCTGGCAAGTTACTTCATTTGGGGATCTTAGAATATTGATTTTAATTTTCATAACAAATAATGTGATGCCTATCATAAGTATGATTCACTCACAATGCCTAGTATTTCTGTTGTGAACCACCCTGAGATCTATGGATGGAGGGTAGTATACAAATTAAGTATACTATAAGTAAGTAAATTGTAAGAAATTCAAAATTTGCAAGATGCAAAATTTACTTACCTGGATTGCCAGTTTTTAAACACTTCTGTAAGTCTATCTTGTTTAATTAAAAAAAATCAAAGGGAGTTGGTAGGTGGGAGGGGGGAAATGCTGTAATCCACTAGATTTTTTAAAATGCATAATTATTTTGAGAGAAAGAACGCCTTGGAATACTCCCATGTAATGGTTTTTTTTTTTTTTTTGCTCTCTCAGATTCGGCATGAAGTGAATTACCAGAATGTTGTGCACAAACTCTGCAGTGATGCCTGCTTCTCCAAGTTCCGCTCAGCAAACAACTTGACCATGAACTGCTGTGAGAACTGTGGGGGTTACTGTTACAGTGCCTCAGGCCAGTGCCACATGCTTCAGATCGAGGGGCAGTCCAAAAAGTTTTGCAGTTCAACGTGTGTCACTGCATACAAACAGGTCTGTGCTTTGTTTCTTTGGTTCCTGGTGTGTGTTGCTGTTACTGTTTTAAATCATTATTTTAATGCACACTAGGCTTGTGTGGAGCCTCAACCCTATAGCTTATAATATGAAACTTGTTTATAGTTGTGTCTGTGGAGAGCAGCCAGATAGGGGAGGCGAGGGAGTGCTTTCAACATAAAGGCCAGAATTCTACTTTCCTTCTATTGACACAAGGGGAAAATTTGAGAGAACCTGTAGTGGGAAGGAAAGGGGAGCTTACCACCAGTTTTTATTTCTCCGGGCCAGATGGGCATTGGCCATGCTGCACAGGCGAACAGCTCTGGGTACAGGGGAGAGAATTTTGCATTCTGAACCTGCTGCAGGACCATCCCCTCACAAAGTGACTTTCCTGGGAAAGTCTTGGAAACCTGGAAACCTTAGTCTTAGACAGTCATGTAGTTCAGCCCCTAGAAACAAATTGGGGCTGGTTTTGTTTCCTATTGTAAAAGATAGTGTTGCAAGTCTATGACTCTTTACTTTGGCATCTTTGACTCCTTTTTGGAAACCACTTGAAGATGTTTTATGTATAGTGAGCGGTGTTGACTTAATAAATACTAAGCTCACTTTTGTTTTGTGTATGTGACACACCTATTTCTTTCACCTGCAAGTGGGCTATGTGGGCAAGTGAACTGTTTCTGCTCTCAGAAGGGGGAAAAAATCTGTTGTTCCTCTTCCTACAGAAGTCAGCAAAAATCACTCCCTGCGCACTGTGTAAATCTCTGAGATCTTCAGCTGAGATGATTGAAAGCACAAATAATGTGGGGAAAACAGAGCTCTTTTGTTCTGTGAACTGCTTGTCAGCACACAGAGTCAAAATGGTCACATCTTCAGGTAAATGTTGTGTTGTCCTTTTCATATATACACTTTCTGAAATCAAGAGACCTTAAAGCACATTAAATTTCTTACATTATTATTTTTCTGTTATTATTTGTTTTTCTCTCTGGCAGGTGTCCAGGTTCAGTGTAACAGCTGTAAGACCTCAGCCATCCCTCAGTATCACCTCGCTATGTCAGATGGCAGCATACGCAATTTTTGCAGCTATAGCTGCGTGGTGGCTTTTCAGGTATGTCCTGTTTTCCAGTTTAGTTACTCAATTGGCTTGTCAGATGTGCTAATCTCATTCCCCTTCCTGGACTTGTGGCCATTGCCAATCTTTCCTTGGGCATACTCCCTCTCCTTTTGACCACTAGCTTCTCCATTGCTATGTTTCATCCTGATAAGAGTGCTAATACACTTAATAGACATAGTGCAGAGATGTGTCAGTTAAATTATAGTAATCATAATAATTAATAATATAATATTTAACATAAGAATTGTTTGCTATGAAGGATCTTGAAGTGGTTTCATAATATGCACACCTGCACACACACAGAGAGTAAGCTCTCAACTTGCACATATTTAACTTGTGCACGTTCAGTTTTATGCGCTTGGCATTAAAAAAAAATTAGAAAGGGGGTGGGCATCGGGGGGGGGGGAACAACTGCATATATAAAAACAATTTCAAATCCAACACGGATTCCAACTAGGATAAAACTTCTCCACTTTGAAGGCTTGTTGAAAGAGGAAAAAAACTTCAACAGGTACCAAGAAGACAATGGAGATGGTATAACACTGGTATAACCTCTGTGATATAATGCAGACTTCTGTGTCTTCATTTGTTCTCCATGATTTTCTTTTCTGAGATCAGTGTCCCAAGAATTAAGAGTTCTGTTTTCCACAGATGGAGAACAATTAAAAGGAAAGAAAAGCATGGAGACTTGGGATAGGTTGGCTGTGGGGCAGGGAATTGGGGTGTACCTCCAGAGATTAGCAGGCTGCTATTGCAATCCTTATTAAAATTGCTAGCTCCTCCCTGGAATTTTGAAACGGTGACCCTATGCTAGGAACCCCTCAAACCTGGCAGAAAATCCTGTTGATGCAAGGTTTTTCCATCCCCTGTTGCTTTAACAGAACTTGTTCAACAAGCCTGCGGGAATGAACTCGTCAGTGGTGCCCTTGTCACAGGGCCAAGTGATTGTCAGTATCCCCTCAGGAGCCACGGTTTCAGCAGCGGGCAGCACTACCTCCACAGTTTCCCCCAGCTCGGTCAGCAGCTCAGCCGCAGCTGGTCTCCAGAGACTCGCCGCTCAGTCCCAGCAAGTTACCTTTGCCCGCACTGTCGTCAAACTCAAGTGTCAACACTGTAGCCGCCTGTTTGCAACCAAGCCTGAACTGCTCGATTACAGGGTAATTGGCACCTGCCAGTTGTTGTTGTTCACAGACCTCTTGAAGCCGGACACGTGGGTGCTCTAATTGTGGACCCAGACGCCCAGTGACAGGCAAGGCTGTGTGTATTCCATGCTTAATAATAAGTTTTAAAATACACTGCAGCAAGGAAAGCTGACATTTGTATACAAAATGCAAAGTGGGCTGATTTGCACTGTATCCCCTTTTGTATAATTTTTCGACGATTCTTTTTTGGGGCAAATTGATTCAGCCATATATTTGAGTTCTGAGATTTCAACAGACATTGGCCACACACTTTTGAGCGTATCTTTACCTCCACAAGTTGTAGGAAGTTGTTATTTTTCTTATATGAAACTAGATTTTCTGCATTTTTTTTGAATTTACGTTCACTACCAGCATTGGCACCTCAGGGGACTCTTGGCGCATTTTGATACTCCTCCCTGTCCCCCACTTTTGAAAAAATGGACTTTAAATGACAGCAGCAGCAGTAACAGCTTCTCTATCACCAAGGTAGCCAAGAGAATGCCCATGCTTCCACCATAGTCACTAGAAATATTTTTTCAATGTAGATTTTTTTTTTAAAAAAATTAAGCCTTTGTAGTTGCTTTGACAAACTGCAGTGATGACAGAGGCAGTGCCTGGCATTAAGATGTTGGCCCTGAGAGTGCTAGGCTCTGACAAGAAGACCCCCTTGGTTCTTAGAGCCCAAAAAAGGCAGAGTCATAGTGGTCACCAACCAGGTTTCATGGCAGATGGACAGCAGGTTGGACCAATGAGGGACTCTTCTGAGTTCCGGGGCCTCAGCCAGGGCCCAGCTTAACTGACCACTGGTGTCAGGCCTACCCACTATTCTACTCTAGGGTTTTCTTGCACTTCTGTGGGATGGTGGCTTTTTACTCAGCCCCGATTTGCATTTAATGGAAGTGGGCAAATTTGCATTCCCACTGAAGAAGGATGAGGTGGCATGTCCTCTCCTGAATCAGCCAGCCATTGGAGGATTCAGTTTGACCAAAGTATTCTTGCTTAATTGCAGGGTAAAATGTTCCAGTTCTGTGGCAAGACCTGCTGCGATGAGTATAAGAAGATAAATTGTGTCATGTCGATGTGTGAATACTGCAAGATTGAGAAGATTATCAAAGAGACTGTGCGATTCTCAGGCATTGACAAGTCATTCTGTAGTGAAGGTAAGAAGGGACAGATCTGGAGTGTGTATTTCAAACTTCAGTCCCAAGGCATTTTGGTCCAAGACCTTGGAGCTTCCTATTGCCACAGGAACAGGGCTCTGTTGAGGATTTAGCAATCCTCAATCCCCAAATGTGAATTTGAGGTTACATTTTGACAAGGGTTGTAAAACCACATGGTTTGGGATCTAAATTTATCCAATTCGTCGAGGAGCTAGTCTATTAATTACAAGGGCAAAATAGCCTGTTGCTTATTCTTAAGTCAATATGTCACAAAGTAGTGTTTAGGCAGTAGCCATATGTTACTGCTTGTGGCTGCTTTGTTCACAAGGGATGTTTGTGCTGCCTGTTATTTGTGTATATTGTCCTACTTTGAGAACTGGAGTAGAGGGGGGGGGGGAAATCTTAATTGATTGCTGTTTGTTCTCTTGTGCTGTTCCAGGCTGCAAGCTGCTGTATAAGCACGACTTAGCCAAACGTTGGGGGAACCACTGTAAGATGTGCAGCTACTGTTTGCAGACATCTCCCAAGCTGGTTCAGAATCATTTTGGGGGCAAGGTGGAGGAGTTCTGTTCAGAAGACTGCATGTCAAAATTCACAGTTTTGTTTTATCAGGTAAGCTGCTCTGGAGTTCAAACATGTCTTAAAAATTGCTGGACCAATGGTCTTGCCTTGGTAATGGACTGGATAAGAGCCAACAAACTGAAGCTCATTCCAGATAAGACTGCAGCACTGTTAGTGGGTGGTTTCCTAGACTGGATGGATGGGAGGCTACCTGCTCTTGATGGGGCTATGATCCCTCTGAAGGAGTGGGTATGTAGCTTGGGGGTTCTTCTGGATCCTTTGCTGTCACTTGAGGCTTAGGTGAACTCAGTGGCATAGAGGCCATATGTTACTTGTGTCAGCAGGATTTTTCACAGGATGCAAACCAGCTACAATAACAAAGTCATTTGAGAAAAGCAGTCAGACATGTATGAACAATATATATTTTTTTACTTTTTAAAAATAACAATATGCACATTGTACTCTCTTTTTCTCTTCTTTGTAGATGTCCAAATGTGACAGCTGCAAAAGGCAGGGCAAACTTGGCGAGTCCTTGAAATGGCGAGGGGAAATTAAGCATTTTTGCAACTTGCTTTGCATTTTGATGTTTTGCAATCAGCAGTGTGCATCAGATCCACCGCCACCTCCACCTCCTCCACCGCCGCCACCCCCACCCCCACCTCAGAACAATACAGGTAAAAGAAGGCCTGCTGCTATTAAGGATGCCAGAGAAGCTGTAGGGACATCAGCTACAAGCAAATCCCATATCAATGAGTGTAGCATGCCTAGGGGTGCTTCCTTTGTGTTTCTTTCAACTGAACAGCAGACTGGACATGAATCTAGCTGGACTAGGCTGGTGATAGGAACAGATTGCAACCAATATTCCTTCAGTGAAGGAGAATCCATCACCTGCCAAGGGAGGCTTTTCCACTGTTGAACAGCTTTTACTGTCAGAAAGTTCTTCCTGATGTTTAGTTGGTATCTCCTTTCTTGTAACTTAAAACCATTGGTTTGGTCCTCTGGAGCAGGAGAAAACAAACTTGCTCCATCTTCCATTTGACAGCCCTTTATATATTTGAAGGTGGCCATCACCTCTCATCTCAGTCTCCTCTTTACCAGGCTAAACATGCCCAATTCCCTTAACCATTCCTTATGAAGCTTGGTTTCCAGACCTTTGATCATCTTGGTAACCCTTCGCTGCACATGTTCTAGCTTGTCCATATCTTTCTTAAATTGTGGTTCCCAGAACTGGACACTACTCCAGGTGTGGTCTAAAAAGCAGGACTATTACTTCCCTTGATTGGGACAGTATTCTTTTTTTAGGCAGGTGTGTGTAGGATTGCAGCAATAATGGTGTTTTGTATTCTTCTGAACAAAAAGGAGACTCATATCCTGGATAAAATCATCCAGTCCTGGCATAAAGTCATATCTGCTCAAAGTTCCTTTTCCCCCAATTTAAGTCACTATTTTAGTTTTCAAAGCTATAAAGATAACAGGGTTTGCCCGATAAACATTTTAATTGACTTTTCACTCAGAAACGGAGCCCACAAGGAAATGTGCTTAGCTGCCATTAATTCCAGATAAAAGTTGTTTGACTATCACTACATCTACAATTTAATTAACATTCTACTCTTCTATTGTGTGTTATTTTGTGACCAGACAAAACAAGTTTTTTTAAAAACTTAAGTATGCACAGTTAAATGGTTCAAATAGGGCTAAATTGGGAAGGTCACTGACAATTAGCAACAATGAGATTTCATTTCTATTTTCATTGCCACTATGATAGAGTGGGTAAAGTTTAGTTAAGGGGGTGCAAATGTATTTATGACCTAACTACTGCATCTGTAGAGAAATAGAGTGATTGACGTATAAATATTGTCTACTTGTGCCATTCACATTACACTACTTCAACTCATTCTGCTTCCTCTACCTAGCAAATCTTTCCATGGCACCAACGTCCTCGGTGGGGCCCCCTCCATCTCTCAGGAAGGATTCTACTCCAGTTATAGCAAATGTGGTGTCCCTGGCCAGTGCTCCTGCTGCCCAGCCCACCGCCAATTCCAATAATGTTTTGCAAGGTAAGGCAGCGATAAAGCACTTCCTGGTGTGTGTGTGTGTGTGTGTCTCTCTCACACATACACATCTATGCAAATTTACATTTTGTTGTTGTGGAAAGCAACAAGCATGGCCCTAAGAAAGTTGCTTAATGCCCCCTTTTTGTAATCCCCAGAAACTAGAACTAGTCATGATATTCTGAAGAGCGGCAAACAAATTTCCTGCTTTCCCTCCCCCTTTAACAGGTGCAGTTCCTACTGTGACAGCAAAAATTATTGGAGATGTAAGTTTTTCAAGAAAATTTTCTGGGACATCTAGTAAAGTATTTATTTATATATTACACCCACACACTCACTGCTCAAAGTCTTTGGGCACTTTTGCACTGGAATGTAAGAAGGTGGAGGTTTAGAGGCAGTGGAAGTGAAAGAAGTGGCGGCTTAGTGGGCTGGTAACTAGGACTAGCTGATCTTAGCATGACATTTACGAAAGGCAGCAAAGAGTTATTGTACCTCATTTTCTGCCCTGAACCAGGCAAGTACTCAGACGGATGCTTTGAAGCTTCCTCCCTCCCAGCCTCCCCGACTTCTCAAGAACAAAGCCTTACTGTGCAAGCCTATAACACAGACCAAGGCCACCTCTTGCAAGCCTCATACGCAACACAAGGAATGCCAGACAGGTATGTGATACAGAAATGGCATGTGCAGTTGTTCTGAGAGGGAGACAGAGAGATGTGAATCTAAAAACTTGTGTAAGCACTTCTTGTTGTGACCAGCTAAAATATCACGAAGTAGTGAGCAAGTAGGGGAGCGTATTGGATGCAGCTGTGGAAGATGAAAAAGTTCCATTCAGCAACGGTTTTAAAAAAACAGACCTTCAATACCATATTGCATTGTATAGTACCCAGGGGAGTATTTCTGTTCAAGTGATTAGTCAGCCTAGAACTGGAGCCTTCTTTTGCACTAAAGGTTCCAGGGAGAAAGAAACAATGATATATTTCCCTTTGGAAATGTAAAAACAAGTAGTTATTTCAATTTCTCTCAGTGGGTTCTCTGAATTTTTACCACTGCAATATGTTGGAACTTTGCAAGCCAGAGAGCAGAAGTTAGAGAAACATCATGGTCCTTACATTAGGAAAGTAGTATCTTAATTTTAGAGGCCCAATTAGGTGGCATTGCCCAGTGCGTGGAGGGCATATCTTCTTCTGTAGGCAAAAACCCACCATTAGTGGTAAATGGTCTTCTGTATCCCATGTATGCATTTCTTATGTATGATACAACCATCTTCTGTATGTGTGAATAAGTGTAGTAGAGAACAGGGCAGCCCCAGCAATCGAACTCATAATGAATTTTGACTCACATCTTCCCCCTTTGTTTATGGCAACCCATGAACAAGTGAAAATTCCAGCACAGAATCAAGCTGGCTTTCAGCTTTGGCCAACTTAGTACCCTCTAGATGTTTTGAACTACAACTTGCATTACAACCATGCTGCCTTGGACTGATGGGAGTTATAGTCCAAAACGTCTGATGGGTGCTAGGTTGACAAAGGCTGGCCTGGTCATCTGCTGTGTTCCCTGGCTTGGAATAATCACGTAAGAATGGCATGGACAGAAGAGTCCCAGAGAACATATGTGGATGCATCCACATAGAAAGGGGTGGTGTGTTAGGAGCAGCAGTTGTGGTTAGCAAAGAAAAGTTAACAGCTTGTTGAGAGAGATGAATGAACAGCTGGCTTCTCTTCTCCAAGGATCATGCCTTTTATTTTTAACATAACAGAAGAAGAAGAAGAAGTTCCACCCAAAATAATCATGGTGCCTGTTCCTGTACCAGTGTTTGTGCCAGTTCCTCTCCACCTCTTCACCCAATACACACCAGTTCCGCTGGGAATGCCAATACCCGTAAGTGATGTGTTTGGCACCTTGGCTTTCGGACAGTGGCTTTGAAGGTTGAGCTCATTGGGTCAGCTTGTGGCCAGCCTGGACAATGCCGAATGTCTCAGCATGAGTGTCTGTGGTGGGGCTGAAGTAAGCCCCACATCCAGTGCAAGTCAGTTCATTGCACTCATGATCTGGGGAGAGCTCAGTGGGAGAGACGCCTACCTGAAAGCTTGGAAAACTACTGTCTACATCTACTGTAGACAGTAGAGGACAAATGGTATTGACTCAGTATTAGGCAGCTTCCTAATCTCTCAACACCAAAGGCATCATTTGTGTTAAGTGATGCTATGTACTCCAGCAAAAGAGTATCAGAATTGTCTTGCTGGATCAGGCCAGGGTTTCCATAGTTGAAGGAATCCCAGCAACCAAGAGGCACTAAGCGGTGCTCTGGAAATTGGTGAGTGGTTTGTTGGTGCACTGTGAATTACCTTCTGCCCACCTTTTCTTTAGAGGCCTGAGAGGTGGAAAATAAACCATGGCCTCCACCTAGTCGGGATCATGGGATAGGCCTTGCTTACACCCAGTTAGTGGCTGGCTCTTAACTGAAGCCAACAGTTTAAAAAGGTTTACCTTTGCTTGATAACCCATCAGAGACAGGGTTCTCTTGAGATGGCAAGGACCTTGTTTGAGGAGGCTCAAGATGGGCAATTACAGCTTTGAAAGCTGGTAGGATGCAAGGGGAGTTGTGTGTATTTGTTACTGATATGCATCACCCAGAGAATATTTCTCTAGCCTGCCCTCCCCCCCCATGGAGACTTCTTCTTTGTGTGTGTTCTACCCACAAAATGTTGTTGTGTGTTCCCTGCTATAGGATCTTTTCATCTGCACAAATCAAACCTCTCCCCCACCCCCAGGTCCCAGTTCCTATGTTGGTTCCATCTGCCCCGGAGAATACTGGCAAGGCAATAGAAACCATTCCAGACATCAAGGAGAAGAGCTCCGCCAATGCATTTGAGGCAGATCTCCTCCAGATGGCAGAAATGATCGCAGAGGATGAGAAGGATAAAGAACACTCTAGAGGAGGTGCAAGGCTTTTTTTTTTAAAAAGGAAACCTGAGGAGCTGCTGAATGGGGGTGGGAGAAAGAGAGGAGGGGAGAGTGACTGCAGTGGAGGGAACCTTCCTGGGGAAGTTGTATTTATACATCCAGATTTCTATTTCATAGGCTTATCCTGGACTGTGTTAGGTTTTCCATTTGATTCTATCAGAAGGGTTCTGTATAAATCTCCCAAAGAGAAGGCCACATTGAAATGGAGTGGATCTACCCCCTTCCAGTTTTGTGAATTGAAGCAATTCTGTCCCTAAACAGTTTTCAACAACTCACATATTCTAGGGGAATCTGGAGTTGGGGCTGTTGAGGTGGGGGAAGGAGAAGGACAAAAATAGCTTTATGGGAGGGGTACATAGGAGCTGTTCTCCCTCACGAAGTTTTACATGCCTACCAGTAGCCCATTTAAGTAAACTGCCTTGAAATAATGTATGAAAGCTGCTTTATAAATGTTTTGAATAAAGGAAATTAGGCAGGATTGGGCATTCTGACTGACACTCAGCCCTGAACAGGCTTGAGCTCAGTGTTAGAACACCTGTTTTGCATGCAGAAAGTCCAGGTTCAGTTCACACCACCTCCAGCTATAAAGGTCATGAGGACCTTTCTCTGCCTGAGATCCTGGGAAGCTATTGCTATTCAAAGTTGGCAGTCGTGGGATAGGTGTACTAGTGGTCTGTCTTAGTACATGGTAGTTGCCTATGGAGTCAATGTTTCTGGTGGTTGGTGCTTTTGGTCTGGCAATGTTGGTATACCTGTATTTTTTCCTTCACTTGTTTCAGGCTCTCAAACATCTGAGCATGAGCTGTTCCTCGACCCTAAGATATTTGAAAAAGGTTGGTGCTTACTTGCTCCACTTAGCAAATACACTCACATCTACTGTACAATTTTGGAAAGTAGCTTGTTCAATATGTGAACAGGTATCATAACCAAATTTTGCATGATGGATCCTGAGATTGAGGAGCAGCCTTCTGTCTATGTTTTGGATATAATTGGATACTATTTTGAATCAAAATGACAGACTGAACCTATTGAAACCACACTGATTTGAACCATTGATTTCAAAACTGCACTGATTATATATGCATGCCCAGTATGTAAAAGTCTGCAAAGGGTTTTACTAGCCCCCACTCTACTCATACCTTACTTGAGGAGTGAGCATGTAAAAGCACATCAGCTTTTATAATGTTTCTCTGCATAGTTAGCAGACATGACCCACAAGACAGAACCAAATCTAATCTTAATTTGTTCTTAAGTTACAGCTGGGTAAATATTTGGTTGAACATTTGGGAGACACTTTGAAAGCAGAGCACAATGAAAACAAATACCACGTGGCAAAGGTGGCTTCTCCCTTGCTTGAGGTCTTCAAGCAGAGACTGGGCAGCCACCTGTTTGAGATCCTCTAGGTGTCAGTTTTCCTACATTGAGCCATGGGGGTGGACTATGCTTCCCTTTTGACTCTTGCAAAATTCTGTGGCTCTTGCTTGCCAAAGGCAGCCGGGCTCGTGACTCCTCATCCTTAAATGTCCTAATAGGCTGTGCTCTGTCTCTGCCTGCTGGGCTTCTCTTCCTGAGCACCACCTGTCTCTCTCTCTCCCCTCTCAATTACAGACCAAGGCAGCACATACAGTGGCGACTTAGAGTCCGAAGCAGTGTCGACCCCTCACAGCTGGGAGGAGGAGCTGAACCACTATGCCTTACGCTCAAATACGGTGCCTGAGCCTGAGCCCGAGCCGAGGCAATTCTCCAAAGGAGAGCTGGAGCAGGACCTGGAGGCTGATTTCCCTTCAGGTTTGTCAGCCAGAGAAGAAAAGGCTCTTGGGTGTGGAATGTGCTCTGGGCCTTTTGCCCCCATGTTGCTGGTAACTTTTTAACCCTCGCCCTCTGTTCTGGGAGCAGCCTGCTATCCTGGGAGGCACCAGTTGGCAGCACAGCTCTTGCAACTTTCCCACTAAATCTCTGCTTTTGTTTAAAAACTAGACTCCTTTGACCCGATCAGCAAAGGGCTGGGTCTTCACTCACGTGCGCGAGCAAGGCGGAGACACAGAGACGGTTTTCCACAGCCAAAAAGGAGGGTAAGGAGCGCCGTTGCTTTTACTGCTGCTTATTTGTTACAAGCCTACAACATTTTGGGGTGAGGTATTCAGGGTGAAGGGCCTTCCTCCGTTTCCTCAGGCTGCTTGACTCTCCTACCCCACCCCAAAGTTTCCCTTCCTCATTTGCCCCTTCTCAAAGAAAAGCCCCTAGATGAGGTCAGGAGTGTGGAGATTGCATATGTCTCTTTAGTTTCTCGCCCACAAAACTGTGTCTCAATTGAGAGCAGGAATAGGAAACAGGTAATGCAACTTCTGATGCATTTGCTCCCCCATCCCCAGTCATGTGGTTCTTGGTCACCTTCTCCCTTCCAAGGGAGGATTTAAGGACAGTAGCAGGCCAGGATCTTAATTCCCCAAACATAATCAAGTTCCATAGGCATGTATTTCATCAGCATACGTTGAGGAGGAGAAACGATGTTCCTTATTTGGCCACTGCTTGCCAATCCTGAATATAGATGGATTACTGGAGGTGTGTTTGGTCCAGAAACCATTTACCTCCCTCTGTGACTAAGCCAAGCAATGCCTTTGTTGGGCCCTTGCACACACTTTGGTTTTCCTTCAGGGGAGGAAGAAGTCCATAGTAGCTGTGGAGCCCCGGATGCTTGTGCAGAGCTCATACCCAGGCTGTTCCGTTTCCGGGATGAGTCTCAAGTATATGTATGGGGTGAACGCCTGGAAGAACTGGGTCCAGTGGAAAAACACACAGGAAGAGCAAGGAGACCTCAAATTTGGAGGTAATGGTTTTTAAAATAAGAATTAATACTTTCCTTTATGCTTCATTGAACCATGGAGGATGAAGAGCTGACCTGGGTCTTTCAGCAGAATAATCCTGGAAGGATGGGATGGGTGGACCAGATCTCATTGTATGTATTGCATGGTCCTGGAAGTGTGCCAGACACGGCTTTTAACACACTGCTCCTTAAATGCACTACTTGGAAACAAGCCCTATTGATTTAAATAGAATCTGCTCAGTTGCAATGAATTAATTGGGTATTGGAGATTTGGGATTCCAGGATACAGGTTCATAGGCTCAACAAGAATGCCTATGCAGAATACTCTGGGTCTTTGTTTGGGTGAGATTGTTATGTTCCCAAACCTGAGACCTAAGTTTAATTCACACAAGCTACCAACAGGCCACCTCCAAATTTTCCCCTGTTCCAGGTTCCTCTGAAACTCACCATTTGAAGTGAAATAGATTTCCTCAGACTCTTCCCTCTGATGTCAGTACATGTCATCAGCAGTGGTCGTGCATATGATTTTATTTGCATTGAATTCATTCCCTCCCCCTTTATTGCACAGCTAGTGCATAGCTGCTGTAGCTAATTAAAAGCTGTACTACTGCACATCCCACAATAAGGGTCAGAGAGCTACACCCCTCAAATATCTGGATTTTTTTAAAAAATCATTTACAGAGAGTGGGAGGCAGGTTTCCCATCAAGATTCCCATTCTAAAAAACAAGTTTGAAAGTGTGTAGGCAGTTATTGGTTAAAATATTTGGCACTTTCAGGATTCAAAGCATTTCATATAGATTATCATGACAACAGTCCTCTAAGATAGGCCCCATATTGCAGAAGGGGGAGGTATTTGAATCAACACCTTTTTTATTGGTTTATTTAATTATTGGAAAAGTAGTCCTCCTTCCCTTTTAGACTGCCAACTTACTGTTCAGGAGCTTGGGAAACAAGAAACGGAATTCCTTAATTGCTTATGAGTGGACAGTGCCCTCAATTACTCTGATGGAGTTGAGTATTCAAATATTTCTGTTTGTGAAAGAGGCTGATGTTCTTTTGGTGCTTTTCTTCCTTGTAGTTCGACCTGTGAAGCTCAAAGAGGACATCCTTTCTTGTTCTTTTTCGGAGCTGAGCTTTGGCTTATGCCAGTTTATCCAGGAGGTACGACGACCAAATGGTGAGAAGTATGACCCTGACAGCATCTTATACCTGTGCCTTGGAATTCAGCAGGTAATTGTCCTTCTGGTGTTATATTTCTTAATTTATTTGTTCTTTTAAGGAGTGACCAGCAAAAAGAATTGTTTATTGAGCCTAGGCAGATTTGCTCATGCTACACCAGTCCTTTGTCAACCTTACTCGTTGCCAGTCCATTACCAGGTTTAATTCAAGCTGTTGTCTTTAACCTTTTTAAAGACCTAAATTTATGGGACCAAAATATCTTAGGTTCTTCCTCTTCTCTTCCTGAGAACTTCAACCTACATCTGAGGATCTTCACTCTCATCTGATAGATGTGTGGTGGGTGGGCTTCTTCGATGTCACTGAGTTTGTGGAATGGTCTCAGAAGAGAGGCGCACATGGTCCCTTCACTGCCTGTTTCTGGGCATGCTTTCAAAACATTTTGATTTCAGTAGGCATTTTCTTATTTTCTTTAGTTCTGGCTCAGTACATTTCTAAATTGATTGCTTCTTTGAAATCATTCCCATTGTTTTACAGCTTGATTTGTTTTGTTGCTGTGATTTAAGCCCTTGTGAGCTGCCCTGAGTATATATGGTTATAGGTGGTTGGGATATAAATTATAGGAAGAAATGATAGTACGACTCTGAGTAAGACAATTCACATTTATTATCGTAGCATTGTTCTCCTGAGGTTGTGGTGCCAATAGTTCTTTCTGAGAGTTGCAGGCGTGCTGTGGATTTATTTAATTCAACTTGCAGCACGCTCCTTTTCAAGAACTCAGGGAAGTAGTGTGCTAATAATTCTACCAAACCCCCTTTCCACCAAAGCCAGTTTGAATGAAAACATCTTACAGCACTTCTGGAAGCTGTCCAACCTCAAGCTTTGACCAGTCTCCCGGGAGAGTTAAAGTTGGGGGCCAGTCCCTAAGACTGCCCTTCTGCACACGTATATAGATACCTGATGTGTCAAATTAATGTTGCATGTAAGAGAGCATTGTGGGATGGTCTTCAAGAGTTGTGGTGGAATATAGGGCTGGAGGTGGTATCATAAGTCTGCAAGAACAGTCCCATTTTCCAGCTGTTGCCCAAAGCCAGCCAGTCTGGAGAAGAGAATCACCTCCAAGAATACAGAGCCCAACTCAAAAAACGTTAGGAGGATGGAACTGAATCAGCAGGCTGTGTCTGCACCTTTCTATGTAAACCCTCCCAAGTTTTCTGTCATCGTTTTTCTTCTCTTGCAGTACCTATTTGAGAATGGTAGAATAGATAACATTTTTACCGAGCCCTACTCCAGGTTTATGATCGAACTTACAAAACTGTTGAAAATCTGGGAGCCTACAACGCTTCCAAATGGTAAGGAGGTTACTTGTTTTGTCTGTAATGTCATGTGGGCATGTATCGGAAGGGAGAACATAGACTCCAGAGAGGGAGATGGTGGCTTCTAATAAATGAGGGGTGGTCTGTTTTTAGCCTTATATTGTATTTTTTCTTTCTTTTTCACTACAGTCCCTCTGATTCACCGTCACATTCTGTATTTATAAGGCAAGAATGCCAGCTTGGCATCTCTTAAAACAATGAAGCCAAAACTGTTTCCATCTGAACATGCCTCTTTTTTCCTTTTTCCTTTTTTAAGAGCACCTCTTGAGGGCTGCTTAGGCTGCCCCTGCCTTCAGAGGTGCAGAAATGCTCTTATTTGTGCCCATTCTCTTATTTGTGGCACACCCTCATTTCAGGAACATTCACATGGCACCACCTTTGTTATCTTTTTCTACATTTTGCCCACCAGAGCGTTTGATGGATCATAGATCATTTGCCTGTGTGACTGTTGGCTGCTGGTGCTATTTTAGTTAATTTCTACTGGGTTTTTGGCTTTTCCTGTTTGTTGTGGCCCTCCGTGCATGTGTGGTTTCTGAGCCTGCACAGAGCAGAATGTAACAATGGAAACATTATTAAAGAAGCAGAGAGTTGAAAATAGAAGAGGCTATGTGTTCTTAGAAGCCAGAAGGCTTATCTCATACCCCTCTCAGGGGAAGAGCAGAGACAAAGTTCCTACATGCGCTGCTGCTGTGGCAGTCTGTTGGGAGCAGGTGGGAAAGCAGGAGCTATGCCCCTTGAGCATATACTGGGGGAGGGGTGTGCTTCCCTCTGAAATCTTACCTGCTCTGCTCTAGAGCAGTCTTTTCCAACCTTGTGTTCTCTCAAGGTTTTGGACTACAACTCCCATCAGGCCTAGCCAGCGCATGGGGCAAGTACTCCAAGAACTCTGGTGCTCAGCATGTTGGGGAAGGCGGCACTGGTACCCGGCTCTCATTGCAGCAACTTCCTTTAGCCCAGCATTTTGGTGCAAGAGTCACAGGAGGTGCTTGGTGGTTCACTAGCCACTGGCCAGTGGTAAACGACTGACCAGGTTTCTCCTTTCTGTTGTGTGTCCCCTGGTCATCTAATCTCCAGGTTACATGTTCTCAAGAATCGAAGAGGAGCACTTATGGGAGTGTAAGCAGCTGGGTGCCTATTCCCCCATCGTCCTCCTGAACACGCTGCTTTTCTTCAACACCAAATACTTCCAGCTCAAGAATGTCAGCGAGCACATGAAGTTGTCCTTTGCCCACGTCATGCGACGCACCCGGACCCTGAAGTACAACACCAAGCTGACCTATTTACGCTTCTTTCCTCCTTTCCAAAAGCAGGAGGTAGAATCAGGTGGGTGAGCTGTTGTGGACGTTCTTTTCCTCCAGTGCATGACTTGACTTCCTTGGGTTACCGGGTGTTGCACACAGGCGCGTTGGAATTCTGTGTAAGCACAACAATTTACAGAATCCCAGCTTACTCCTTTTAAAACGTTGGCCACTTACAAAGGCGACCCTGCATGGAAGAGTAACAAAAGCAATTGTTACTCCTAATTAGTTTTCAGTGCCAAAAACTAATGATTTTGTTCTTGTGCCATTGCCCTCTTTCCTCCCTCCCTGCTCCATCTCTAGATAAATTAGTAGGGAAAAGAAAACGCCACGAGGGCGAAGATGTCCCAACAGCGGTGGAAATGGTTGAGAACACTGACAACCCCTTGAGATGCCCAGTTCGGCTCTATGAATTCTACTTGTCAAAGTGGTGAGCGATGCTGCCTTTCTTTCCTGCCTTCCCTCTCTTTCCTCCTCCAGCAAATCAGTGCTCAGAGGCTCCCCTTGCAGCGAGAGAGTTTGGAGTTGGTTACAAAGAAATGGATCAATTCCCATCATGTACCTCTGCAAATTCAAGCCTTCTCTTGTAGGAACTCAACTTCAAACACAGTTGAATCAGTAAGCGGGAGGGGAGCAGGTGCACCCTAATACTACATGTTGCCATGATCCCAGTCAGCTGCACAGGTCAGGGAACCTGTGCCTTTGTGTTTCTACAGCCCTTGTCAGCACTCTATTAGTTTTTAATGGAGGACCTTGGAGGACAAATTGAACACTTGGGCAGTAACCCTAGGTTGTAGCTTCTCTTCTTTTGAACTCCATCACACTATTGGTCATTTCTCCTTTTGATACCTAATGCAGAGAATCTGAGCTATGAATCAAGAAGGCCTCCATCTCTGCTCACCCACTAATAATAAATAAATAAGTATAAATATAAATATAAAAATATATTTATACACTGCCCATCTGGCTGGGTTTCCCCAGCCACTCTGGGCAGCTTCCAACAAAATATTAAAATACAATGGTCAGATAAACATTAAAAGCTTCCCTAAACAGGGCTGCCTTCAGATGCTTCAGGTAAATGCTTCAGGTAGCCTTTGGCAAGTGATCATCTCATAGGGTCAGCCCTCCCCTCCCTGCATCTGCTGTAAAGGGATCAGATCATATATCATCTGTGTGCATTCTTGCTGAGCTGTACAGGTGGTCATAAGGATGACTTTATTATTTGTTTGTTTGTTTGTTTGTTTATACATACATACATACATACATACATACATACATACATACATACTCACTCCGCCCATCTGGCTGGATTTCCTGAATAAATTCAGGGTGTCAATCTCTGCATTCATTTGTATGTGTATTGACTGCACACCCATTCTGTGGTGTGAATTCATGAATGCAAAATAGCTGCATTTCTGTGCACTAAGTTGTCTTCTGAACATGAAAGAAGATGACGTAGAAATGTGTCTACCATCCTAGCCTTGTTGATCATGGGCATTTTGCAGTGTCCCTTTCATCCCTATTTCCTACCACCACCACCCCACTTTGATTAGAGTAGTTTGGGATTCCACCTCGTAACCTACTTGCATCAGCCTGGATGTGTGAAGAAATAAAATGCAAAGAACAGCACTGAAAATTGCCAAAGAAGCACACAGCTAAGCAACAACTATACACATGTTCTATATTACATATGAACTGGGCTAATACTGACTTGCTTTGCAAGCCCTTTGAGAGGATTTCTGAGGTAATAATATGGGAAGCATTTGAGACATTCCCCAAAGCATAATATAATGGAAGGCATTGCATGCACTGGCTGTGTAGGGAAAGAGAAATAGATACTTTATACCCTTTAAAATCTGCTAATTTCATTGGCTGCCCTCCCATCCTTGCATCACTTCCTGTTGTCCTTCCCACTCCTAGCTTCTGCGTTCAGTCATACTTTGTTGCCTAGCTTTCTGCCCCGAATTCTTCCTTGAACCTGTGTTTTCTGTGGACTGTCTCAGCGCTGCCACCTTACATAAGCCTCTGTTCCCACAGTTCTGAAAGCGTGAAGCAGAGAAGTGATGTCTTTTACCTCCAGCCAGAGCGTTCGTGTGTCCCCAATAGCCCCATGTGGTATTCCACTATGCCAATAGATCCTGGGACTTTGGACATCATGTTGACGCGTATCCTTATGGTAAGGGAGGTGCACGAAGAACTTGCCAAAGTCAAACCAGAGGACTCTGACCCTGAGCTTTCAGACTAAAGTTGGGCGAAGGGGGGCATTATCTCTTTTTGGATTTGTTTTTGTTTCTTTCCCTTTCCAATACACCTTGCAAAAGCACCAAACTGTGAACGCATCCATCCTTTGGAAGACTTCCTCCGTCACATCACACAAACCGTCAGGAGGAGCAGCACGAGCTGTGACAGAGTGCAAATAAGAATCAAAGGACAGAAAACAGCCCAAAGCGCAAGAAAACGGAGGGCTCAATGGCTGCATTTGATCCTGAAAACGCTTTCTTAAGATGAGCTTGATGCTTGTCCCGCCTCCTCCCCTCCTCAAAACAAAGTGGTGCTTGTATCAATTGTAACCCGTTAAGGATTTTTTTTCCCTTAGAGGGAATCCTGTTGTGTACGTCCTTTCCTTCTAACCATGGAAGCAAAGAAAGCTAGATTAAACCCCTGGGTGCTTTTGCAATGTAGCTGCTGCCCACAGCTGTGTGGGTTTTTCCTAACATTTACTGTAGGATGCGAAGCAGAACGTAGTAAGGTGGAAACCAATGGAAATTCTGTCTGTAAGATAAACACACCAATTTTCCATCATGTTCTCCCCCCACTTTTTTATTTTTTAGTTTTTTCAAGAGAGGGAAAAAGAAAACACCTCAAATTGGATGTTCAAAGAGGCGGTTTCAGCCAGAAGCTGGGGCAAAGGACTCCGCTTAGTGGGGTGCTGTGAAATTCCCTCCCTTTTGAAACGGGGGGTCTGTTGCATCCCTCACTGAGCAGCAGAGTAAAGCTGAGCATCCTTTGAGATCACTATGTTGAGACAGGAAATGCCCATGAGTGTGTGTGTGTGTGTGTGTGTGTGTGTAGGCACTCCCAACTACTACAGACAGGGTTGACACAGGAACACGCACACCCCACACTGGACCATTATACTGGTATCAAATGCCAAGGTACACAGCAACGGTTCTGGAGGAATTGTGCTCCCTGTTCTGTTCCTCCCTTTTCATTTTTTCTCCAACCCATCTCAGTGGCAGCTTCTCCACTTCTTTGTCTCCCTTCTGTGATAAATTTTTTTTTTGTATACCTCCTGGAGGGATGAGGGTTTGTGGGCCTCGCAATTTTATTTTATTTTAATTATCGCACCCTTAAAAAATGGAGCCCAGCTACAAAATGATACTTGGGTGATCCTTCGGTGAAAAAGGACATGAGGCCCAAATTTAGAAGAGAACTTCTGGTATCCTGACTGTTAGGCTTTTACTACCACCACCACCACCACCCCGGTCAAAATCCTTCCACATTATAAAAAATGCAGGGTGCTTATCCAAAGCTTGGTCAGATACATTTCACCAATCCCTTCCTCATGTGTTAGACTGTATTTTCTAAGTCCTGCAGTTCAGTTGGAAAGCCAACCTATTTTTTAAAAACAGAAAATAGTATGTTTTTATTGGCAGTTTTGTCCAGCCACCACCTTCCTTTTTTAAAAAAGAAATCCTCTAGTTGAAAACCTCTCCAGGGTTGAACACCTTGTGTGTGTGTGTGTGTATGTGTGTGTGTTTGAGTTATTATTTTTAACAGTATCAAAGGTAACAACAAAATAAGATCAGAAAGTAGTCCTCTTTTGCCGTTGTGTACTTGATAGTCCTGTCCCCTGCCTGTAATGAAGTTCACTAGTGTATTTTTGAAATACGGAAAAATGTGTGAAATAGGGGTTTTTTAAAAAAAGCACCTGCCCCCTCCCCCCAATTTCTGTATAATTCTGATTTTATCTCTCTCTTCCCCATCCCGCAATGTTTTTGTTGCTTCTGAACAGAAACCCCATGTTTCACTGTATAGCCTGAGGTAAAAATTTGGAGAGTGGAAGGGAGGAAAAGTTGTTACTGGGTTGTGACCTTTTTCCAGTAAACTTTCCACAGTTTGAAGTACATGGATTTTTCTAGGTGTTTAAAACGCTAATTTCCCCCCAATTCCTCCACCCACCCACCCCTTTTTACCCCTTGTAGCTGTATAAGTAGTTGAATAGCAGATACACTGTTACGGATTACAACATCAAAATATGTTTTTCTGGAACTTAAAAAAAAATAAAAGTCCCTCACATTTTTTTTAAAAAAAGATGAGAGCTTTTTTTGGTTTGTTTGTTTTTAACAAACAGGTACAATCAATTTACTGTATGGCTATAAAAAAAAGAAATGTTTTTTAAAAGTGGTGTCTTGGTTGCATGTAAATTGTCCTCCTATGAGTCTATAATTGAGAAGCCCACAGTAGGTGGGAAGACCCTCAGACATGCAGCTATATCTGTCTGTCAGACTGTTTTGTGTTCTCCTTAGAAATTTGTGTGGATTTCTTTGTTTTTCTGTTCCTGCAGGGAATAAGCAGCAAGGGAATATATCCAAACCATCTTGTTGAATTTTTAAAAAATCTTTCCCCGGTTTTTCCCCTTGGTAGAACTTAACACAAAGGTTCCCCTAGAATAAAACAGTATATTTGTATACGATGGATGAGTTTTAAGTTTTCTTTCTGCCTCTGAAGTTCCCCAGAGGAATTTTTGTTTCTTACTCTTAAGGAAAACATAGGGGCCTCCTTGAAGTTTGGCTACTGGAGCTGTGGGGACCCTGGACCTCTTAAGAGCTACAGCCCTGTCTCTGTCCAGGCAGAAACTTCAGGAGGAAGTGACAATGAGATCCGTCTACAGATGGGAGAAAGGCTTTGGTAGCTCTCCGGATTTAATGTTATCTGGCACAGAAAGTGCACTTTTTAAACAGGGATGGGAAAACCTTTTTTTTTCCAGTTAAAAAGGGCCATGTTTGCTAGTAGTAAACTTGGGGGGCAGACAAAATGTGGGGTCAGAGACAGATATAGTAGTGCAGCAGCCGTGACACTGCTTTTGTGCAGCAGGCCACATTCCAGCCTTGCAGGAACACTGTTTTTACAGTCATTCACAAACCCATATACACAAGAGGCATTATGGCTGTTCATTCTAGCCAGGCAAAAGCACGTGAGAGCATAGAGCAGGGCTCACAAGAGACAGCAAGGTCCCATGTACAGGCCCCATCATTCATAACTGGTGAGCTTTAAGAAGCCAGCAAGTTGGTGTGGGGAGCTGCTGAAGTCCTCTCAGAGAGAGTAGGCAGGAGCCCAAGTCTGACAGTCCCCTTCTCATCCTGTAATCGCAGACTTGAAGGGGACTGAATTTTCTCAAGACACCTACAAAACCAACAGCAGACAAAATTCCTCCAGGCTGCCTTTTTGAAAAACAGTTAAGCTAAAAGCCTGCTTTGTGTTTTGGAGCACAAAGGAGGGCTCTGCTTACTGCACAGCAGGCAATATACTGTTGGGAATGCAAGAGGGCCCCAACTTATACTCTCTTCAAAAGTGTGGTGTTTGTTAATACTCCGCAAAACCTCATTGGTGTCTGCCCATCAAGGGTGGGTGAGAATAGTCACTGTGTACTTCACCAATTATGAACTTCCTTAATGCATTGAAAGCAACCCATACACTGGTATAAATGAAGGTTTTATTAAAACAGCTGAATACAGTAACCAAGATGAGCTAAAAAGGTGTTCCAGAAGAGACACTGACTAGACTTGACTGTAGGTGGTACCACTCGTGCAGCACTTATTCTGTGATGCTGAGCACTCAAGGCGGTCCATATAGTAAACATTACTGACATCATGAAGGCAACAACTGATTAAGACTATGAGTAAATAGGTGTCTAGTGACATGATTTTGGTTGGCAGTGTTACTACAGGATGGCCTGATTCCTGCTTTGCAATAAAAAAAGTTCTGTAATTTGTTGGGATTATATGTTATCACTGTGCCCTTTTGGCTGGTAACTGATAAAACCAGCTGTTTGTCTGGCAGGCCAACAACATTCATATTAAGCAAATGTTTTTTGCTATTAAAGCTTGCTTGCCCCTGGCGTGTATCCTATGTGCTATGGACATCTCAATTTTTAACTGGCTGTTCATGAGTTGCTATCATTTCACATCAACTAGCAGAAAAAATAAACCCCAAGTTCAGGTAAGGCATCTAGCACTACTACTCCAATTGTGGCTGCAGTGTTACTGGGACCCTGCAGCACCTGGGATGAAAAGAAGTCCAGACAAAAGAGATTAGAAATTGCAAATCTGAGTGGATGAAGCCCAAGCCCTGCTTCAGTCCCCTAAACGGTGGACATACTGTACTACTTAATTGGAACATGCCAAAAAGGCTACCACCAGCAAAGGCAGTTGCTGACATCCTTTTCCCAGCCACTGATTCAGCTGCAATGTAACCTGAGCAGTGTTAGAAATTCAGATACAGTGGTACCTCGGGTTACATACGCTTCAGGTTACAGACTCTGCTAACCCAGAAATAGTACCTCGGGTTAAGAACTTTGCTTCAGGATGAGAACAGAAATCGTGCTCCAGCGGCGCGGCAGCAGCGGGAGGCCCCATTAGCTAAAGTGGTGCTTCAAGTTAAGAACAGTTTCAGGTTAAGAACGGACCTCCGGAACAAATTAAGTACTTAACCTGAGGTACCACTGTATATAAACTGATCCTAAAATGGCGCCTTAAACCTAGGTTACGGTTGCCACAATGGAATGTCTATGTGCCTTTTTTGCAGTCATTTCAATACCACTATGTTTTAAAGAAAAAAAATCTCGAAAAGTGGTTTACAACACATTAAAACATCAAATAAAACAATCCAGCATATAACAAATTTCAAGCTTCAAGATCCTTCTCTAAGTGGCATTTTGCGTCTACATATTTACCTAGTTAATTTATATTGCTGCCGCATAGCAGAAGTGCTCAGGAAGCCAGTGTGCCGTAGTGGTTAGAATGTCAAACTAACCTGGGAGATCATGGCTTAAATCCCCACTCAAGTCATGAAGCTCGCTGGGTGACTTTGGGCCAGTCACAGCCTCTTAATCTACCTCACAGGGTTGTTGTAGGGATTAACTGAGGACGTACATAAACCATGTACTGTACTCCTTGGAGGAAGAAGTGGGATGAAAATGCAAAAAGCTCTTCTGCTTACCTGCTTTAGAAGGCTGAAGGGGCCAGCCAGATTGAGATGTCAAGTCGCCAACCTGGCATCCAGAGCTCTCCACATGGTTGCAATTGGACCTGCGCCAGTAGCTAAACACGCCTGGGGAATTTCTAGCACTGAACCCAAGGTTCCAACTGCAGCAGGGATACCAGTTGCAGCAACCCATGCCGTTACAAGAACATACAACTGAGGTGCACTATTTTAATAATTTGTAGACCATCCTTCAACGAAAGTTCAGCATGGTGAAAAACTGACAGTAAATTTCAATATCATAATAATAATCAGCAGCAGCTGCCTACTTAATATTTAGACACCTAAAACTTGAAGGTGGTGCTGCCCAGCTGCCAAAATCCCTTGTTCAGCTTTGCGAGTCTTCCATTTTAACGAGCATTCTCTGCAGCAGCAGTCCCCACCCCGCTTAAAATATGGAGGAAGTGGGTAGCTGCTTCAAGTACGTTTGCAAAGGATTTATTCTTTGTGCCGCCAATGTCCAGGGTGCAATGGGAGGTGTGGAGATGCTCACAAGGCCCTTTATGATCCTCCCACTTTCTCCTCTGTACCCAGATGTCAGAGGCTAGCCAATGGCTCTGTGATCCTCCCAGTTGCTTCTTTGCATAATGCATGCAAGGGGCAGGGATTCTTCCAGCTTGTTATTGAGCACCTTTGAAGCTGCTCAAGTGGGCTTGGTCTTTTGGCCAAGCTGTACATATGGCATCAAATGTGGAGCAGGTTTGGGGAAAACAGCCCTGCAGATCAAACGATCCTGTGCCAGGCCAAATTTGGCTTGCAGGCTAAACACTCCCCATGCCTGGTCTAGGAGCAAACTGGTAGGGGCTTGCCAGGATTTTGGACAGGCGTCTTTCCCAGCTGAATCCACGAGGCTGAAGATTGAATGTGGGACCCACCACTGAGCCCTTCCCCATAGCTTGGAATACCTGCCAGTTTTTGAGTACCTCACACACGAAGGAGGGGGCTGAGTGAGATTCCCCACAGGACCAAAACAGTACACATGGACAAACTACAGAGTAGATAGGAGGATGCCGTGACCCTCCAGAGGCTGTTGGGACCCAACTCTCAACAGCTCCATCCAGCATGGCAATTAGGCAGGAATGCTGGGCATTGAAGTCTAGCACCATCTGCAGGGCTACAGTTGGCTCCCCATCCCTGTGATAAAGCAAGTTGCCATGGAGAAGGGTTTGGCAAGGCGGAGAATAGCAAACTGTCCCTGACCAACTCAAGCCACAATATTAAAAATTACAAGGGTGGGCAGCAAAATCCTTAAAGGAAACATCTGCCGCATTTTTAGCTGGAGGAAGGAATTTAAAAAGGAGAACTCACTTTGTTTCTTCGCCATCTTTAATCTTTCTAATCTTCCAGGTGTGGCAAAATTTAGTAGTCCCCAAGGGGGTGCTGGACACATGCACAAGGCAGCATCAAATGTACAGGCACCAACCACCCCTTGGAGATGCCAGCATCTATCTCTAGAAAGTAACTCAAAGCAAGCCTAGAAAGGATGAGTTAATTACAAATCACGAGGACTATTCAGCAGCCTCTCACTTCAGTGACCTGGATAAGGATGCAAGAATCAAAATGGATTGAGTCAGGATGCCTAATCTGTGGCCTTCCCATTACTCCTGACAAGAACTGGCCCTACTGGCTGGGACTCATGAGAGGAACCATCTCTGCATTTCACACTAGAACCTTGCTCCAAAATACATTTGCTCCCAAGTAAGTCACACTGGTTTCCAATTCATGTTTAGGATTATTCTTTTAAGGTTGCTTTCTCCAGCTGCTGCTCAAAAAGCAAACCTTTTTTCCCCCTGCTTGGAAAACAGAAGCCCATTTCATCCAGATGTTGAACCCAAACTTGTAGAACTGTTACCATTGCAGCTTTTCTCCAAAGCACGGAAACTACTTGGGCATTTCCAGGTATCAATTAGATCTCAAGGTCTAAAACCACCGGGGAGGGAGAGGAGGTGAGAGCTCATTTGAAGAGCTCAGCTGGTGCTCCAAACAAGCAATGCAGAGAAATGGGAACGTCCAGAACCATCAATGCTGAAACCATCTCCCATTCACCACTCCTTAAGAGTTTCAGCCGGCAGGCAATGCAAACAAGATGTGGCCTGTTGGGGAAATTGCGTCCCTCGCCCTGACTAGGGGTAAAAAAAAAGGGGGGAGGGGGAAAGTATCTTTGAAACCATCCTCTTTGCTTCTCTAACAGTAACAAGAACCTTGCAAACTGATCTCCAAAGAAAGCCAGCTCACAAGGCCGTTTGCAGGACTAAAATCAGGATTCCAGCTCCCCCCCCCCCCGCAACATCTCCCACCTGCAGATGCTATCTGCTCTGCGCTAGCGCAGGAAAGCTCTATTAAGTAGGGTTGACATATGTCTGCAATTTCCTGGACATAGAGGGATTTGGCCGTTGAAGACAGTGCCCGGGTGGGAAATCGCTAAAATGTCCAGGAAAATCTGGACGTATGGCAACCCATGTCGGAAGTGTAGATTTTTGGCAAGTTCCTAAAAACAGCTCAAAACTGTAATTTGTTTTTTGAGATTTTGGCAACCCTGTATTAAGAAGTTCCCAGGAGGGGACGGCAGGGCCATCAACAGACAGCAGGCTCTGCCAATTGCAACAGGTGTGGGAGGGGGGCTCTCCCTGACTCCCACGCTGCATGCACACAATTCCCCCCCCCCCCATTTCAGCCACTTGGGCTTCTGAGGTTTCGATTCCTCTGGAAGGTGTGGAGGAACAAGTGAAACTTCAGCAGCTTCTTCTCCTTAGGTATTTCTTTGTAGGGATCCCGCTGGCTCTCTGCCAGGCTCTTGGGCAAGTGGCAGCTCCCTCCCCTCCTCTAGCAAGCTTCTGATGGGTTTTTAGTCAGTTGGGGGTTGTCTGGGTTTTCTTGTGCTGCTTATTGTTAGGTTTGTGGTTTGTGTGTCTAATGCAATTTATTTACTGTACATTGCCTTACGCTTGAGAAAGGAGGCATTGTTCTCTCTCCCCTGCCCCCATGATGCTCCTGGCAGTGGAGGAACCATTGTCCTCCAGTGCACTGCATTATTATACATTGCTCCACAGGAATTAATGTCAGCTGTTCAGTTATAGAAGAGAAAATAAGGTGTGCAGATGGGGACGCCCGGGGTTGCTTGCTGGTCAGCCCAGTCATTGAGAGATTTCCTCTGCATAGCACCATCCCGGACTCAGATTCTTGACCAAATTTGGAGGAGACAAGACTAGTATCTTTTTGTATTTTTAGTACTCCCCGCCCCCACAGAAAACTCCAGAAAAGTTCCACTTCCTTCTCCTCTTCATACTGAAGTGGTACTGTTCAGGAAAAGCCACTTGGTTCTGGTAACTGTCTAAACTGACCACCAGAGCATCAAAATGAGGAACGGCTAAGGGAGCTGGGCATGTTTAGCCTGGAGAAGAGGAGGTTAAGGGGTGATATGATAGCCATGTTCAAATATATAAAAGGATGTCACATAGAGGAGGGAGAAAGGCTGTTTTCTGCTGCTCCAGAGAAGCGGACACGGTGCAATGGATCCAAACTACAAGAAAGAAGATTCCACCTAAACATTAGGAAGAACTTCCTGACAGTAAGAGCTGTTCGACAGTGGAATTTGCTGCCAAGTGTGGAGTGTGGTGGAGTCTCCTTCTTTGCAGGTCTTTAAGCAGAGGCTTGACAACCATATGTCAGGAGTGCTCTGATGGTGTTTCCTGCTTGGCAGGGGGTTGGACTCGATGGCCCTTGTGGTCTCTTCCAACTCTATGATTCTATGAAAATTACTGAGGCTGTGTGCATACTATTCCATCTGCTTCTCTCTACCTGTCTCCAGGGTCTGAAGTGCCCTGGGATGGAGAACATGGCTACTGTCCCATAGCTCCAAACCACTGTAAACTGTAGGAATAAACTGTTCTGCAGGTGGCATGAGGTTGCTTACTGTCCCAGTCCTTCCAGCAGGTAAACCCAGCACAGCCTGTAAACATTCAGCCCAAAGAAGAGATGTCACCTGCCATTTCTCCATTTTATTGTCCACAAAAGGTTGTTCAGATGCATAATACTGTCACAATGACTCTGAGCGAAACACAGCCCCAGCCATCGCACACACGAAACACATACACACACAGAAACAGCAGCACCCAAGAAAAGCACAGTGTGTAGGACAACGGCAGTTGTTGAGTGGCTAATGGTGCACACACACACACACACACACACACTCCTGCAGGTATTCTGGCTGGGACCAATAGTGAGAGTTTAAATTAGAAATCTAGACGCTTTCCATTGGCTGTAACAGGCAGACACACACACACACACACACACACACACACACACACACACACATACTCACACTCTTGCACACAGACCCCAACCGTGTACAAGGGATCCAATCTCCCCTGCCATGACTCAGCCCACATTTAAAAAAAGTAACCCACCAAAGGCATCTCCCATGAATACATGTTTTGGGGCAGCGATACCACAGAGGTAACTGCTTGCGTAATCCCATGCTAACACTGAAGTTTATGTACATTATTAACATCCTTTGTACCCAGCCAGTTAAATAACTATGTGATTATATCGTCTGGGATGAGCTATGGGTTGAGGGTCAGTCTGATAAGGTGCATATTAAAAAAATAATCATAATCATAAAATGAGAACAGTAAGAGAAAAGAGAAGAGTCCGTGGGGCTGGGCCGCCCCCAGCCTGGCTCCTGACACCTCCTCGATCCTTGCAGGTTGGGGAGCCTTGGGCTGATCTTCTGGTTAGAGCTAGCCTGGAGTTGGCACCTTGTTTGCACCCATCCTTTGGGGTGGGGGAGGCTGGCGTCGCTGCTTTACAGAACCTCTGCAGGAGAGAAAGAAGTTAAAAAGGGATCAGAGACACTTGGAAGAGCTGCAGAGGATCTTCTAGCCTGCCTCCTGCCTCCAAAAAAGAATCGGCCAAAACCAGCTGCTTAGCTCCTGCCATTTAGGAACTGATTATGGCTTTTCACAAGCACCAATAAGCCTTGGCTTCTGGAATCAGTGTAACAGGCAATGCTGCGTTAGGTGGACCATGTTTACCACTAGGCCAGCTTCAATGGTTATGTGCTAATTCACAAAGCCCTGAACAACTTGGGCCCATGGGACCTTAAGGACCTTTTGATCCCAATAAAAGTTCACATCCTCTGCACTGACTTTCAGACCATTTGCCTGCCTGCCACTGCCTCTATTCAGGGCATTTGATGGGCTAGTTTTTTGCATATGAAACACGCCCTGTAACTTGCTTAAAGCTCCTGAACTTTGCTGGACAAAGAAGGGCCAGCCCCTCACCTGTGATCTGTGGGGGCTTTGCTACCGCCTTGCTGAGGAAGGGCTCCTTGTTGGCAAAAGGCAGGATGGGCTCGCCAGCCATGCTCAACCCGGGGCTCACGGGGTGCTCCCGCCCGCTGGGCTCCTTGGGGGAGGAAAAGCCGTTCTCGTGCTTGCTGGGCTGCAGGCCGTTCACCAGGGACAGGGCAGGAGCCACAGGACAGCTGCAACCAAAAGAGAGGAGAGGGTGTCAGATGGAGATGTGGCAAGCAAAGGCCTGTTTCAAAGAGGGAAGAAGAAAGCAAGGAGGGTGGGTGGCAGTGTACAACAAAAAAAGAAAATCCTGTACCACAGAGAGTGGAAAACCGCAATCAAAATCAAGCCCTCCTCAAGTCGCATACACTGCACAATCTGCTCTGCTCCTGGTAAGACACACACACACAGACGCACTCACTCTCCATCTGGGTTCTGAGATTACACCAAGCACTGTCCACTTCTTTTTGGCCTATATGCAACCATAAGGACTAGTAACCTGCTTTTTTTTAAAGGAAAGTATTCAGAATTGTGTATTCTGAATAAAGTATTCAGTAATGGGCAGAATATGCAGACACTGCACCATGGGAAAAGCACAACAACTCGTACAAATGTTTGTCCCCACTGGAATTTCCTAGAATGTCTAGTCTTAAGGCTAGTTACCCCAGATAAAGGTTCTGGTGATCCAAAGAATGTTGGTCTTGTTGTCTGTGCTACAATAAACTACCCTTTCCCAACCTAGTGCCCTCCAGTTGTTTTGGATTGCAATTCCCATCAGCCTGCTGAAGAGAATTGTAGCCCAAAACATCTTGGGTGAGGCAATAATAAACCATCTTCTGGCAATGTGTTTAAAACCCCTCTCTGTCACTTGGTTTATTCTGCTTCCCACAAACTCCACAGGTCACACAACCGTGATGAAGAAGGACAGGAAGCCCTGGGGAAGAGTAGCACTATAGATGCTTCTCCTACCCCTGGTGGTCCTTCGCACATGAGATCCCCTCTCCCCCCGGCCTGCCATGTACACATTCCTTCATTTTGGTGTAGGAAAGATCTCAGGGAAGTAGCAACTATACTGCTCCTGTAACAGAGGAACTGGCACCAACTTGAGCTAAGAACACGTCACTCCTGCTGTAGATGGTACCTGTGCTGGGTCCCCTCAGGGGCTAGCCCCTTGCGACCGGCTGGACTTGACGCCTGCATCTCGGGCAGCTCCTCTTCCTTGGGAAGGCTTCCAGGGCGCTTTTCTCCATCTGGGAATGTAGGAAAAGAGGTTGTTATGGGCCACAAGAGGCCTTTGAATCCAGGGACAGAGACCTCAGCCATGCAACCCACTGAGGCAGCCTCAGGCTTCAACTCGTTTACTACAAACCTTTTCAATTGCTTGGAAGTGCTACAAAGACTTCCTTGGTCAAGTTATGCCCTCTTCCTGGTCAAGCCCATCTCACTGTCTGTATCCAGATGCTTGCAAGTCAGGTCTTTGCTACCTGTGACTGCAGCTCCCTCTCCTTGACTATTTGTTATGGACACAGCCTGGACAAAAGTATAGCTGACTAGAGAGTGGGCATTACCCTGGAGTTAGGACCTGGATTCAGAACTGCAGGGGGCCAGATTCCCAAACCAGCCTGTGATCCTGCCCTTTCATAATTAGCAGAGCATCTGGTACAAGGGGTGGTTCTCACCTGTGTCTGCCTCGCCCTCTTGTTTCCCTTCCTTCCCATTCACAAGTTTCTTGTTGTCTTTCTTCTGCAAAAACAATTGCCAACAGTTAAATGTGCCTGATTCTCCAGGCAGTAAGAGGGAGAAAATCTGTTACTGTATTTGTTCACGGATAGGGATAAATACACTACATATAAGGTTCCTGTGCTGTTTTAGCAGCTCAAAGGATCAGTTGTAATTGCACTGTACAACATGGAGCGGGGGGGGGGGGGGTCCTGCGTGCTGGAGACCAACAATGCTAAAATGTACTTCTAGTGAAATGTACTTCTAACTAAATTTATCTCTGAGTAGACCCTACGAAATAAATGGAACTAAGTTAGTCATGTCCAATAGATTACAATGGGGTACTCCGAGGACTTGACCTGGCTACAGCCCACACAGACTTTGTATTTTTGTGATGAACAAGTAAATCTGACTGATTGACTACTGTACTGTCATCCTGTCCCAGAGGCCACGGAGAGAGGAGGTCTGGAACAAGCACACTGGAGAAGTTAAGCTTGGCCCGTTTTGTTTCCTGGTGTAGAAGCAGGCCCGCCTTGCCTTTCAGGAGGTCCTGCAAAGGTCCCTGGGATGAAGAGCTCAAGGGCCCAGAGAGTGTCTGACCATGAGGTGGCAGATTATGGGTTGCACTGAGGTCAGATCCGAAAAGCCCTCCTGCAAAAGTACCATAGAAACACAGAGAGGTGTTGTGCAAGAGCAGTTGGTGTATCATTAATAATGAGGGCTGCCAATTGCATGTTCTGCTTCAGGTACCAAAGTCCCTTGGCCCAGCAAACAGTGGCTCACCACCTGCTTAAGAGCAAGCCAGCCCTAGGGCATGGGGTATGAAGGCACCTGAGGCTTTGCTGAAGTTAAGCAGGTCAAGGTCTGGTCAGTGCTTGGATGGGGGACCTTGTGAGAACCACACGTATGCAGCCTTGGGAGTCCACGATGGAAGAACAGCAAGACATAAATTAAATAAAAAGATGTCATCCCTGACCCGTTTTCTGAAGAATGACTCACCTTGGCATCAGCTCCATCTGCTTTTCGTGTCCTCTTCATGATCTCCTCCAACCGCTGCAGACAGAAAGAGGAGGAAGAAGGTTGTCAGACATTATCCCTGTTCACAGACAAACATTTGCCAGTTTCTCAGTCATGGGTGCCAACTGGGAGTGGGAGGAAGCAGTGCAAGCCTTTGCTTGTGGTGTACAAGTGATCACTTTGCATGTTGCAATTGTGCAGGACCGGCCCTACCATTGGGTAGAGTGAGACAGCTGCCTTCTCTCTTTCTTCCGCCTATCCAGCCAATCTGGGCTGTTCAGTCACCCCCCCCCCCCGCAGAGAAAGGCACACCCACCTTCTTCCGCTCCAGCCGCTCTTGTTCTTCCCGCTGGAAATGCTTTTCACGCTCCACCCGCTGGCGCTCGGCCTCCTCGCGTGCACGGGCCTCTGCTTCCTCCCTCTGCAGCCAACAGGAGAAGTTCATACATTTGGGTGAAGTCAAAACAAATCATGCAACCTGAATTTGCTGGTTAAATCACAGCAAGTGTGTTCACTTCAATCACGCCTATCCTAATTTGCTTGCCAGGGACATGGGGCCCAACACAGTAATCAAAGAGAGAAATTGCAGGGACCCACTCTCCCAAATTCATAGGGAATCAAAACGTAATTTCCACCCAAGAAAATGTAACCAGTTGCTACCACTAGATGGCAGTGCTTCTCCATCCTGTCTGGTTCCCTAAAATGCCCCCAAGTGACTGAAAGCACCCTCTCCCTTGAAAAGCACACCAACCCTGCATTACAGCCCCAGTCCAAGACATTCTGTCATCTGAGGCCAAAATGTCCACACACTCACACAATTTCATGTACCAAGTATCACCAGACTGGCACTTAGAGTCTTAGGGTGCCTTTAGCATGGTATTATTTTGCTGGAGGGAGTCAAGCAAAGACCATAAAATTTAGGTTTACACAATCAAAGTGCCCCATAACAGTCTGTGGCCTAGCATAGGAGGTGCAGCACAGGCTGCATGATGCCTTGCTTTCCAACATCTTGCCAACCCCTGCCTGCCCTCCAGCGTTTGCCACCTGAGGCAGCCATCTCAGTTTTCCCAATGATAGGGCCACCCCTGATCTACCGTAGACCGGACCATTGGTCCATTTAGCTTAGTACTGTATACACAGGCAGTGGCTCTCCAGGACTTCAGACAGGGTCTCTCCCGTCCCTACCTAGAGGTAATTTTTTAACTGTAAGTTTTTAAAACTGTTTAAAACTTTTATATTGTTTCTTGCAGTCCCTGAGAAGCAGCAAATAAAAACCCCAGCAAACACACTTGTTTCTGCAGCCGTTCTTGCTCTTCCTGCTCAGCTCGGGCCCGATCCTGGGCCTCGCGCTCCTCCTGCTGGGCCCGCTCCTCCTCCTGCTGCCGCCGCTCCTCCTCCAACCTGGCGAGCTCAGCCTGTTGCTGTAGCCGATCTTTGGCATCCTGCTGAGCCCGCTCCTCTGCTAGGCGCCTAAGGGTACCAAACATCACCATTACAACAGCTGCTTCCTGCCCATCCACCCTCCCACTTCCACGGGGAGAACATAGGAAGTTGCCTTTTACGGAGTCTGGCCACTGGTCCACTTAGCTTAGTATATTGTTTACACCAGGGCTGGCCCAAGACATTTTGACACCTGAGGCAGACCACAAAATGGCACCTTCCTCCCTGCCAGGGAAAAAGGGGTGAGTGAAGATCTACATCAGAAAGAAAGGGGGTGGGGGAGAAAGATCTACATTGGTATCTGCTGCCTTTCTGGATCCTGCTGCCTAAGGCAGTTGCTTCACTTTGCCTCATGGGTGGGCCGGCCCTGGTTTACACTGATGGATAGTGGCTCTCCAGGATTTCAGATGAGGTCTCTCCCAGCCTTACATAGGGATACCGGATATTGAACCAAAGATCTGTATGAAAAGCAGGTGTTTTGCCCTTCAGCCCTTCCTCTATATTGGGGGGAAAGTACAAAAAATGGGATCTGATATTATGTTAAGACTGGGCTGCCTGGAAGCCACATCCCCTGCTCTGGGAAAATTTTGCCCTAATTCCAGAGATCTGGACAATGATGGAATATACACATGGTCAAATGCACTGCGTTATTATCATTCAAGGTCCTGAAAACAGGTTTGCAAGCTAAACACGAGTGAAACATCTCTCAGGGTTCTCAGTGTGCCCACTTCAAGAGATGGAGGGTGGCAAGAAGAGAACAAGCCTTTTCTGTCAAAGCCCCACCCCTTGCCCCGATTATGGAATGATCTCCGCAGGGAGGTTCCCTGGCACATATTTATTTAATCACAGGCATCTGGAGAACAATAATGATTTTGGCTTTCAGTAGCTATTTTGTGGTGTTGACATTTGTTTTGAAGAAGTGTGGCTATATTTGCTTTTAATTGGATGGACACTTTTAGTAAATTTGCTTTATTTTACAGGATAGATTGCCATTGCTTGTACTTGAAGGTTTTACAGTGGTACCTCTGGTTAAGTACTTAATTCGTTCCAGAGGTCCGTTCTCAACCTGGAACTGTTCTTCACCTGAAGCACCACTTTAGCTAATGGGGCCTCCCACTGTTGCCGCACCGCCGGAGCACGATTTCTGTTCTCATCCTGAAGCAAAGTTCTTAACCCGAGGTAATATTTCTGGGTTAGCGGAGTCTGTAACCTGAAGCGTATGTAACCTGAAGCGTATGTAACCCGAGGTACCACTGTATTTCTCTTTCTGCAAATTGTTTCGGAGCTTCCTTTGGTTGTGGGATGCCAATGAACAAATTTAATAAAGCTAAACCAAGCCCTCACTCAACCTGTTGCATGTGCCCTGTGCACAACATGAATCCAAATTCTCTACTGAAAACCCCTAAATGATTTGCCAAGAAAGCCCACATCTTGCAGCCTAATGGAGATGCTTGCATTTATTTATTTATTCTGCTTCCCTTTCCCCCTCAAAAGAAACTGAAATCTTTAAACAAGAACTTAGTAGAAAGTGAAGAGGCAACAACGTGAAGACCAAAAGACTGGTGGGTTGTGGGGACAACACGCCAGCAAAACATTGCCTCCAAGGGAAGTGGGGTGCCTAATGCCTCTTACGCCTCAGCTTCATCTGGGATTCTAGGATTTCACCAGCTTTATATGCTCCACCTGCACAATGAACATCATAAGGTCTAGAAACCTGAGCGTCTAAATGGCTGATCAATCTCAACCCAGGGACTCACCGCTTCTGCTCCTCCTGCTCCCTGCGCTCTTGCTCCTCTCGTTCCCGCTGCTCCCGTGCCTGGCGCCGTTTCTCAGCCAGGAGCCGGGCAGCTTCCTCTCGGTCTGTGGTGCCTGCCATGGGCTTGCCTGGGGTTGGAGGAGGAGGAGGAGCTGGCACTGGACTCGCAGCCCCAGAGGGAGCGGCAGCATCTGCAGAGCCCCAAACACATTGTCATCTTCACTGAATTTTAATTTATGTACTGTTCAGTGGCAGAGAAGGCTTCTAGGCAGTTTACAAAGCATGAAAACCAGCTACACAATAACTAAAAACAGAAACATTCATAATTAAAATACACAACGGATAAAACATTACAATTAATTGTTGGTGGTGCTTCCACTGAGAAGCTGCCCAGCTGGCAGTGAAATGCAACACAGGGCCTTCTTGGTGGTGCTTCCCAGGTTGTCTGCCTCCTTTTAGGAGGAATTTAAAAACATTTCTGTTTACTCAGGCATTGGATGGCTGAAAGACCTGTCCCTGGCAACCCTGAAATTATTAGTTTTCAGAGGAGGTGATGGTTTTTAGGAGTTTTCACCTGGTTTTAGAAGGTTCTTTAAACACTTTTAAGAAGTTTTAATTGTCTTGTCTTAGTACTGACATATTTGCCACTCTAGGCTCCTTTGGAGGAAGGGCAAGATATAAATTTTACTTGCTATGAAAACATTTGTAATAAACAATAAAAACACCAGTAATTAAGATATGCCATAAATCTATCTTATTTAAAACAACACAGCAATTGAAACAGGACTTGTTCAAGGGACCAAGGAAATGCCAGTGTCTTTTCAAATGTCAGTGGAATACCAATATGTGGTTAGAACACCTCTCTAAGAAGAGGAGAAAACCTTCACTCAAAATCCCTCCACAATGGAGACCAGGATATTGCTCCAGAGCACTAAGACATTTTATAGCATGCTAGAGGCCATTCTCCTGGAGACACACAAGGTTTGCACTACACTCCAGCTCATAAGGCCTCACCTTGTGCTGTTTCACTGCTCCCCGTGACCTTGGGGGTCTCACTTGGAGCCGGGGAAGCTGACCCTCGTTCCTTCTGCTCATCCTTGCGTTCACGGACCTTTGGCTGCCCGTTGTGCTCCCTGCGAGGCCGCACTTTGGGCGAGGACTGAGCGCTGCGATTCAGGCCTGCCCGATGTGGAGAACCAGGGCCTGTGCTAGGTGAGGCTGGGCGTTGCTTGGCAACAGCTGGAGATGCAGGCCTGGGCTTGGGGCCTGGGCTGCTGGAACACAAATACACACAGTCAGATGGGAAAGGAAAAGCTGCTGCACCTTACCAGCCAACCAGCACTGTCCTGCTGACCTGAGGCCAGGCTAGGCCCAAATTACCAAGAACCAGTGAGAGCAAATGTAAACTTATTCCTAGTTCACTCAGTATGTGGCCACAGCCTAATAGCAGAACTGGGGAAGCGTTTTTTAGCTTAGGGGCCACATTCCCTCATGGGTTGCCTTCCAGGTGCCTCATGCCAATGGCGGTGTGACAATGGTTGTGATTCTAGTAGGCCACCCAAAAAAGTCTACACTGTCCATCCATCCAAGCAAGCAAGAGTCAAGAATAAAGTCAAGCCCAGCAGAAAAACGGGAGGGGAGTGTGGACCATGGCTAGTCAGCGGTGTGGCCTGAGGAGGAGGCCGAGTTGGAGAATAGTCTCAAGGGCCAGACAGAGAGGTCTGGAGGGCAGCATTTGGCTCCTGAGCCTGAGGTTCCCCATGCCTAATAAAAGGTAACCACGGCTACTGTCCTGGTGTTCCTGAGGATAGGTAGGGAACAGCACCGCTGCAAAGCCTGATGCAGAGAGCCCTGCTTGGCAGTGCTAAACTAAGATCTGACAAATCTCAAGTGAAGATGGAGTAGCAGAACCACACACACATACACACACACACACACACACCCTAGGAGCTCCTCCTACCTGTTCTCAGGTGTGTGCGGCTGGCGAGGCTGGGATGACGGCATAGACTTGCGTTTGCGAAGCGCTAGGGCGTTTTTCTCTTGGGCGTTTTCCCGGTCTTTATCCTTCTTCTCCTTCTTTTTCTGGGGAAATGAGGCAGTGTAGAGGGAGTGAGCGATTGGTAGAAGCACCAATAAAGACAACGGCAGTCAGGCTCAAATACAAAATGTTCAAAGAGCATCCTATGTCATGAACATGGGCATAGGCAGCTCATCAGTGGTGGGGATGTGGGGGAGAGAGAGAGAGGGAAAGAGCATACAGTCACTCACAGGGGAGGCCTCAGCCTTGCGCCGGGGTGTCACATCAGGGCTGCTGGTTGCTGGCCGCCGTCGCTCTGAACAGCGATGATGCAGGCGCTGGTTATTGCAGGGGCTGAGGGGGCTGGCAGAGGCTGAGCGGGGGCACACAGGTACTGCTGGAACAAGAGAGAGAGGAGTTGTCAATAGGCCAGCCAGAGAGCAGAGCACAAGAAGGCTCAAGAGTATTTTATTTATTTAGAACGATTTATGAACCGCTTAATCACAAAGCGCACTAAGAGAAATACATAATACAATTGTAGATAAAGCACAGCTGATACCCACAAACATATACATGCACACACACAAAACAAACACATAAGTAAATGGTGTGCCTAGGGTAGGGCTGCTGAAATAAAAATAAGTTTTCAGCAGGCATCTAAAACAATATAATGTGGGACACTAGGCAGGGAGTTCCAAAGCACAGGTGAAAGATAAAACTATTTGCAAATAAAAGTCTGTAAATGAAATCTGACAATACGGAGATACTACTTTGTTCCCACTCACAACCTTTACGAACAATGGGTGGATCTAGACCCATGGGCTGGGTGGGGGGGACACACCCTATAAATAACTCCGAAATTAGATCATTATAACAAAAGAAAAAAACATCTCTGGAAAATCAGGTTTCAAAATTTCTTGCTCTCTGGTGCCATCTGGTGTTGCATGTTTATAGTGCATTTAAATCACTGTTTCTTTACTAATGTAGCTGAGTCCAATGTACTGAAAAGAGGGCAAGCTAAGCATAATCAGTATTCCTTAATTTTGCTTCTAAAATATCTCATTCTGAAATACGAAGTACTAATACAGCTGCTTTAGAAATATTGATGAAACATGCTAAATTCATCTGGCTGATACCCTTCATTACACTACTGTTTTATCCTTGCTACACTGTAGCACTGATTTTATATTGTTTTAATTAATGATGTTCTGTTCCTGCTTTCAAATTGTAAGCCACATAGAGGTTGCTTTAAAAAAGCGGGGGGGGGGGGGTTGGGATACAAGTTTTGTAAATGAATAAAGATGAGAGTTGGGTGAAAACAAATGAAATGCTAGTTGTCTTTCATACTCATTTGGCACAATGGTTAGTAGTAAAAGGGTGTCTCTTTCCCCACCAATTAAATGGGACGAAGGGGAGGGGTTACATACTTATAAGAAGAGGGTGGAGGATTCAAAGTGTGGGACTTACGAAGGGGTTTAGCAGAACAGCAAAGGTGCTGCATCAAGGCCAGCTCTACCATTAGGCAGAGTGAGGCAGCTGCCTCAGGCAGCGGATTTTAGGTGTCACAAATATCATTAAATTATGTAATTTATCACTGCTGTTGTTGTTTCTGCCATTGTTGAGAGAGAGCCTTGGCTGGTCTTTGGTGTTCAAATCACCTTGGCTTGGTTGGTTGGTTGGTTGGTTGGTGGGTGAGTGGTGCCATTTGCTCTTCTACCTCAGGCAGTAAAATGTCTTGGGCCAGCCCTGGCAAAAAAGAACTATCCCCACCCAGTCGTGATAGTGTTGAACCAGAGATGGGACAAGTCCTCCCCCTCAATATCATTTCAGTTCCCTCATCTGCTCCCACTTACCCTGGTCTTTGCCGTTGCCGGCAAGTGTCACAGCACTCCGGCTGCGTGCCAAGAAAGACAGTGTTGGCGTCATGAGTCGGTCCACGATGCTGCTCTCCCAGGGGCTGAGCTGTAGGCTACGATCTGGTGGGGGAAAGGGAGACAAAATGCTCCTAGTTAGGCCAAGACCTGCTAGTTCCAGTTTCAACAACTCTGCAAGGCCCAGCTTCAGCCTCCAGCTTTCAGTTGAGGGGAGTCTTGGCGCCATTTCGTTGTTTGCTTCCCGGTGACTTCCAAACAAGGCACAAACTCCGGAATCACTTTCTCCTCAAAAGTAGGCCAGAGACCAAGCCTACCTAATACAAGGCATTTTGTTTCCTAAGCAAAATGCAGGGCTGGTTGCAGAGGAACAGTTCAGAAGAGAGAGAGGTGTCTGCCAGATGCAGGGCTTGTACTTAGGTCCACTTGGTTGAGAAACTAACCAAAGCCATTCCCCCCCCCCCCGAGGAGTAAAAGGACTCTGCAGTGATTTTCTGCAGTGACAAGTTGACTTTCAGGGCAAGGAAGACGATTTAGCAAAGAATATTGACACATATTAAGATTTGGACCAGGAGCACCTGATAAAGTCTTCAGTGTACGGATTGAGCCAGTAGGCAGCAAGTCACAATATTGACAAATGTGATGTTTGCAGTATCAAAGAGGGGGAAGGAAGCAAAAGGTATGTAGCTTAAGTATGGGCATGACATATCCCACAATGGGACTCAAGCATCTTCCAGAAAGAAATCCTTATTTTCAATGGTCACAGTGGGCAGATTTTTAATTCACTTTAAATAATACCAAATAACTTTTTTTGTAGGGTATTTCATCTTTGTGTTGTCAGATATTGTAGGAACTGCTTCCTGTACCAAGCTTACAGCATAACTTGTTTTTAAAAAATATATTATAATAAATCAGATAAAATAGAGACATTTCTCAACGATCACTTGGAACAGAGGAATTTTGGGGTTGGGGTAGAGAGGAGTAACAAATAACACAAATATATTTTTCAAAGCCTTGAATGGGATGCTCTGGGTAAAGCCCCTTCTCCGCGGATGGGGGGCACCACCCATCCCTACATTCCACATGGACAATCCCTCTGAAGCTAATGGTTCTCTTTGCAGGCCCCTCTTGACTCAGACACAGGCCTCTCCTCACTCTGCTGTTCACTTAGCCTCTTCTGGAATCTTGTTCAGATGGCCAGGGTATTTTTAATCATCACTAAGCAACTAGGAAACAAAACAACTAGGGGGGAAAATACTATCCTCTGCAGCACAGAGAGAAAGAGAGAGACTTGGGAAGGGCATAGAAAGAGCAGTAAGTGGAGCAAGTATATCTCAGCACTGTGTCCAAGATCAGTGGCAAGTCAGCGCCTCTCTCTCTCTCTCTCTCTCTCTCTGTGTTGTGTGTGTTTGTGTGTGTGTGTTCGAGAGGTTCTTCTGCAAAGGGCACCAGTGGTCACGTATGCTTGTTTTGCACGGACTCATTCCTGACATCTCCAGCTAAAAGTTCATTGGGGTGGAAAGGCTCAGGTAACTGCCCAACCTCTAGCTGAGACCTTGGGGAGCCAGTGGCACTCACACTTGGCATTACTGAGATAAAATAGACAGGCCTTCTCCAACCCGTTGCCCTCCAGATGTTTTGGACTACAAATTCCATCAGCCCCAGACAGCACTTCTGTGCCACAAGCTAATCAGACAGGCTATTGAAAAGTCCTAGTTTCTTAACCTCAGGCCAACCCACCTGATCTGAAATATGGGGACAATAATGTCACCCTGCCTCTCAAGTGTCTTTTAAGGACAACTGTGATAGTATGCATGAACCATTTTGAATACCCAGAAAGCACTATATGAAAACCAGCTTTCTTAACTGTTCCTCTTGTCAGCAAGCAAGAGCTGGCTCAATGCCTCAATGCCACAGATGTCCCAACACCTGGTTAGCATCTCCACCTCCATCCATATTACCCACCCTCAATTCTGGCTTCTTCCATCTTCAACCACTTTCCCCCCAATCTGACCTAGATTGTGTGGCCACCGACCATGATAGCTGGACATCCTACACCTGGAGGGCCACAGGGTCTCCATCCCTGATGCAGGAACACCTAGATTATGGAACACTCTCCCCATGAACACCTGCCTGGCTCCATCCTTGCTTGCCTTTCAAAGGGCAGGATTTAAACTCATTTACTATTATCTAACCAATTGGTTGATTTTGAATACTGCTATTCTTATCTCAGCGGGTGGCGCTGTGGGTAAAACCTCAGTGCTTAGGACTTGCCGATTGTCAGGTTGGCGGTTTGAATCCCCTCGGCGGGGTGCGCTCCCGTTGCTCGGTCCCAGCGCCTGCCAACCTAGCAGTTCTAAAGCACCCCCGGGTGCAAGTAGATAAATAGGGACTGCTTACTAGCGGGAAGGTAAACGGCGTTCCGTGTGCTGCGCTGGCTCGCCAGATGCAGCTTGTCACGCTGGCCACGTGACCCAGAAGTGTCTGCGGACAGCGCTGGCTCCCGGCCTATAGAGTGAGATGAGCGCACAACCCTAGAGTCTGTCAAGACTGGCCCGTATGGGCAGGGGTACCTTTACCTTTTTATTCTTATCTCATTTCTTTTAAATGCTGCTTTTATAGTACAGTACTTATTTGTTTTCAATGATTTGGGTATATTTGGTGGTATCTATATCTATTTTTTTATTTTAAAAAAATGGAAGGCAGACAGGCAGGAAGGAAGAATCATTCGGACCAGGGCTGGTTATTTTATCTGGCGTCAAACCTAGGATTAGCTATAGGAAAGGAGCAACTAATATGGCAGGAATATAGCTGAAAAGCAAGTGTTCAAATAACAGCCTTTACATTGTAGTCCAGTGTTAATATTGCAGGTTGAAGTTAGGCTGAGGTGAAGAGTAGGAACAGTTTAGAACCAACCTTGGAGAGTAGACCAGTGTTAGTAATGAAGCATAGGGGCTGGGCTGTGAAAGTAGCACATTGATATTGCAGGTTAAAAGGTGCAACCTAATGTTGCATAAGAGGTAGATCTGAGCACGTTGCCTACTCAGACCCTCTCTCAGCCCAAATCCAGCACCTGGCTGCCTTGTGCCCCATCATCTTGCATGGAGCCTGGCACCGAGGCACTTACTCTGTGTTCTCTGGGAAAAGCGAGTTTGTTAAACCACTCTGGAACTGTAATTCATTGAAAAGAATAGGGATATCCTAACAACTCTCAGCACGCTTAACGAACTACAGTTCCCATGATTATTTGGGGCAGTGGTTTGTTTCCTCAGAATCAGAGTTAGTTGCAGGAAGTCCAGAATGAGAGCCTTCCCGGCACATGACTTGGTCCAACCTCTGCTTGAAGACCGCCAGCGAGGGAGAGCCCACCAACTCTATTTTATCTAGACCATTGGTTCCATTGTCAAATGGCTCTTTTTATTGTCATCATCTTTCTCCTAATGTTCAGCCACAATCTCTCCTTCTCCTCCTTCTCCACATACTGCAGATATGTGGGCACAACAGGGTCTCTGTTATCACTGTGCCTATCACCCAGACCTACCCGTTTACTTTCCCTATTGCATGCCCTGCCGTTCAGGATCCATATTCACAAAGGAGGACTATAAACTTGCATTTTAAAAAGAATTAAAGCTGAGGTTCTTACAATGCTGAATTCTTTGCTGAATACCAAATTCTGTACTTCTGTGCTTGGGCGGAATTGCTACCCCAACTCTTATGGTGTTATAGGTATCTTAAATAATAATAATAATTGCTTTAAACGTGTTCGCCAGCCCTTGGCCAATGGGATAGGAATGGATACAGGTTTTAAATCAGTATCGCCCCTTGCCCTCCCTCACCCTGGCACTGCTGGGTGCCCCAAGGGGTCTCTTACTTCTACTGGGCGAGTTCCAGAGAGTGGCGGAAGATTTGGAGAGGCGCTTGTTGATTATAGAGTCCACATGTTTGGGGAGATTTACGGCAGAGAGGGAGCACCTGCCCGCACCTACGAGAGGGAAAAGACACACGGGTGTTAAGGGCGGTGGGGGTGGGAAGTGGAGGACATGCTAGCATGCAGCGGCAGAGGGCAAAAGGTCATGCAGTGGAAGGAGCAGGAAAGGAACGGAGACATTTGGTGGAGGGGTTTCGGAGTGTGGTGTTTGGTTCGCCAGCCTGCACCATCTTGTGTCGTGTCTGCAAGGGTACAAGACCAGCACCACCTGTTCACGTGATGATCCACAGCGCAACCACACCTTGTTCAATGGCATGCCAAGGCTCAGCCTGACACAAGGAGGGTTGGCACATTCACTGCCTGAGAGTATACAGCTCCAGGAAAGCAGTACATCCTGGGTTTTGTGAAACAAAAACGCCCTGTTTGGTAAGATATAAAGAGCCTAGTACCCTTTCCTTCCACATCCAAAGCAGAAAGTACAGGCATCAATTCATAGCCTGCACTTTTATCAAAATCAGGTCCCATCAAGCTGCCATGATTAATACATATAGGCTGGGACCTTAGTAGCAGATTTTAAATACCAGGTTCCTGGCATCCCTGAACGCTGTTATGAAACATTTCCATTATCACAGCGAATACAAGATGGAGGCCAGACTGTGGTACAGAAAATAGCTGTGCCCAACCACAGGTGTGTCCCTCTTCAGGTTCAGACACCAAACAACAAGCTGGGCTGAAAACAATCAAGACGCTTCAAATCAAAATGGCAAGATTTTTGTTTTTCCAAGGAAGGAATCTCCATTCTGAAGCAACAATGCTGAGATTCGGGCCTGAATAGGTAACCAAACGCCTCAAAAGATAGCTGGATCTTCTTTCTCAATATTTAGCAGTTGTTGGTACCCCCAACTATTAAGATGTTTTAATAGTTCAGTAGATACTGGTGGTTAGTTTTTGCCTGGCCTTCCACTCCTGCCATCACCGTCAGAAGCCCACCAGCCCATGTTCGCTGCCATGGCAACCAAGTCACCTGCCACTCAGTAGGCCTTTCATTGATTCTGGGAAGGACAAAACTGATGAAAGCCTGATGCCAAAACATATAGGTTCAGATGCAATGTTAGTCATACCTGAAATGAATGGATAAGATTAACTGTGGTCCAACAACTTTTGTTAAAATCTAGTACTTTGTAAAGAGTCCACAGAGAGAGATGGCAAAGCCCTGGAGATGCAGGTGCCCCAGTTGGTTGCATTTTCTGAGGTAAACTGTGGAGGAAATTTCCCCTGAGGCAAATTTCTGACAGACAAAGAGAGATTTCTATGGCATTTGGACAGGCCCTCAGAAATTTGATAGGAGATAGTGGGAAATAAAAGAGTTTTTATCTGGGTATATATGTATGTGAGATGGTTGTAGCTTATGATAGTAAAATATTAAGTTGGTTGCATAGTTCGCTTGAAGGAACTATGATGCAGCCCCATGAGAGAAAGTTCCACAATGACTTGTTTCCCCCTCTCACTCCTCTGGTAGCAGGGATGGAGAACCTGTGGCCCCTCCAGATTTTGCTGAACTACAACTCCCCTCAGCTCCAGCACACATGGCTAGGGATTATGGAAATTATAATTTAGCAAAATTTAGGGTTCTCCACACCTACCTTAACAGCTTATAATGAGTATCCCGGAGCTGTAAAATGCCTAAGATGCTGACTCAAACCCTTCTAGCTCAAACGGGGGGAAAAAGAGGAAGGAAAATATGTGATTTGTCCTCTTTTTGCAAAATGCAGTCCTCCCCGGTGAGAACAAAGCTCATATTTCAGACTGGCGGGAGTTCTAGATGGAAGCATTCCTCTAAGATCAGGTTCCCCAACCTTGGGTTCTCAGATCCTCTTGGACAATATAGCAGCCCCAGCCAGCACAGCCAATGGCAAGGAAAGATGGGAGTTGCAAACTAGCAGCCTGTGGGACCCTAAAGTGGGAAGGTTGTCTCAGAAGAAGGGGATATGCCACAACATTTTGTTGCAGGTCTCACTTGTCATAACAAACTGCAATTTGGAGAAGGTATGGCCCCTGCCCTGGAGGAAGAGCTGTCCTGTACAGAGTCACAGTACTAGGTGTAGATTACAACTAGGGCACAGTGAGAAGTCATTACAATCCACTGGAAAAGACATGCAGTGATCAAGCTCTTAGCCAGTCCCCATGAGCTGTAACGGTTGTGGTCTTGGAGTAGGGGAGACAGGGTACTGATTCCCTGCTCAGCCACAAAAGTCACAAACAAGCAAATAAATAATGTTAAAAGAGGTACTTTAAACACATATAGAGTGTCCTTCTGCCACCATTGTAACCACCCATCAACCAACCTCAGTCCATCTAGGACTAAGGGTAAGAACATCCAGGTTGAAGGGCAAGTTTCGCAGCAGGCATGAACCCTAGTACCTATCATTTCAGAAAGGTATTTAGCTATTTATTTAGACTAGTGACCTTTCCTACCTCAAAACCGAACACGGCTAATAAAATTTGAAATACTCTGTGATATCAAAACTATAAAAAGCAAAGGAAGCCAATTAAATAAATACACTACATTAATCCACATATACATAAAACCTCAAGTGAGACTCATAACCAGCCCAATGCCTGTGGAAATATGAGATGGTTTGGGTCTTTCTGAAAAGCCGAAGCGTTTGGGAACTTGTTTATGAGATTTCTTACCCGTCCTTCACCAGAAGGTCACAGAGTGGGTTACAGCAATAAAATATACTATAACATACACAAACACACATACACACACAGTTAACAACTGTAAAACAAGAAATGTATCACATCAGTTAAAAACAGTTCTATATATAAAAAACAAAGCAAACATTTAAGAACAACTCCATGCACATGGTTGCATATGGAATTGTTTTTAAAAGTTTGCATTGTTTGAGGTTCCATTCATGAAAGAAAGATTCTTAGGGGTGGAGCCAAACAGAGGAGGCCACAACCGCTGCCCTATAACCAAGTAAAAATATAGGAATTGGGAGGAGGGTCCCCAGTTCCTGATCAGAGGGCTTCTATAGGAAGAGGAGAGGAGACTGAGGAGACTGAGTTGTTTGTCAGGAAGTTCCCACATTGAATTTTGCCCTTGCAATAAACTCACTGAGCTGACTTTAGGCAAGCCACTTCCTCTCTCCCAGCTAGGACAGTAACACTGAGCTACATAAGAAAGTAAAGCAAGCCCCACTGGATCAGGCCAAAGGTAATTCAAGTCCAGCATCTTGTTTCCCACAGCGACGAATCAGGTGCCTCCAAGAAGCCCACAAGTTTGTTTCCAGCCTCTGGTACTCAGAGGTATACTGCCCCTGATCATGGGGGTTCCATTTAACAGCAGTCATGGCCAAAAGACCTACCTTACAAGGCTGCTATAAGGATTCCAAAACCGTAATACATGTAAAGTGCTTCTAACACTCTAAAGTGCTTATAGTGCTAATTAGGAGGAGGAGGTTTAGTCCCAGCCCACTCAGGAGTTCAAAACCAAACTGAGCACTGCAATAATCCCTAAGTATTACTAGTCCACAAACATTTTCACTTGCTTGCCTGTCCAGATATAGCTATGCTAATCACTCATGGCCCGGAAGAAAAAAACTGATTTTAGCAAAGTTTCACTGTCTGATTGCCTGGAGGGAATCGTTACTCACCACAGGTTACCAGGCAAGCTTTGATCATTGCCTTGTCTGCTGTCTGCAGGGAGCCCGGCTAAGCCTGCATAACAAACTGCGTCCTCTCTCGCAAGCTCTTCTCCACAACCATAAGGGCTCGAAACTATCTTCGATCACAAATCATAGCTTCTTGGGAAGGAAAATTCCTCTGCAGATACTGAGCCCTTATATGTTTGTGCCCTGAATTGCAAAAAAGCCTTACACCTAAGCTTGTGCTGCCAGTGCCTGTGGACTAAATCAACTGAGCCAACAGCATCACGTGCCTCACTGCCCAGCCCCAAGAAGACCTGCGTTATGTCACTCTCTTGCAAAACCTGATGTCCAGAAAATGCAAACAAGTGAGGAAACAGATGTGGGAGGTTCGGAATAGCAGGAGGCAAGGAAGGGGTGTCACCACACCAGCACATCCAACACCATAGTTACCATGCCAGAGCATCCACTGGCTAGTGGCCCTACTGAACAGCAAGCTGCAAATAAAAGGCCAGCTGCCCCCATGCAAAAAGGGCTGGTTTGCAATCAATCTAATTACAAATCAGCATGCAAAGGCCCCTTCTTGATCAAGCGCATGCACGTGCAAAAGCACTGAGGCCCCACTCTCCCCATGCTACCATTAGTGATCCTATCGAGCTCACTCTGGTCAGCCTACATGCGCTTATTTATTGGCTCCCCCCCCCAGTGGATGCATGTCTGTGCCCATACAAAGATGCACATGTGCCAAGTGTCTCCACTCACCATCCTTGTGAGCAGGGGAGCCCTGGTGCAGGGCACCAGCCCATGACCATCGGTGCTGCCGGATTTCAGCCCAGGTTTTCTTTGTTGAGCGCTGGATGGCAGCTTCATATCGCTCCTGATGAAGAAGGGGAAAGGGGAGGAGTCAGGAAGGACAGAGCCTCTGTCTGAATCCCTAGAGAGCTGCTGCCAGCCAGCATAGACAGTACTAAGCTAGGTGGACCATTGCTTTGACTGTATAAGGCAGCTGCCTATCCTGTAAAAGCAAGCCTTGTATCATCAATGGGGCAGGGGGTGCTGTTGTGTGCAGAAGGCCCCTGGTTCAATCCCTGGCATCTCCATAGCATCTGACTGGCATCTGAATCCTGGGAAAGCCTCTGCCAGTCAGTGTAGGCCTGTAGGCAATACTGAGTGAGATGGACCAATGGTCTGACTGAAGATAAGGCAGCTTTCTACGTTCTGTGAGAGACACTAAACCTTCAATTGCCATTTCAGAGCCTTGGAGGTAAGGGTTTGGATGGAGTGAATAACAAAGGAGGAGACAAAAACCCTTCCCCAAGATCTCTAGGTGGATATGACATTGCTTGGTTTACCTTTTTGGAAAAGGTATTTCATAAGCAAAGTCCCCCCCCACCCACCCAGTGAAAAGTCCCTCTCCAAACCACAAACCACTAAAAGGCTCTGAAGGTGTCAAAATAATTAATTCAGATCTCTGGAGAATAGAATTATAACAGAGATATTTTGCTGCTTAATGCTGTTGGATTTTATTACTTAGAAAACACTGTTTTTCTGTATTGTTATCATACTACAGTGGACCCTCCGGATATGAACTTAATTCATTCCAGGGGTCCGTTCGCACCCTGAAAATAATGTAAATTGAGGCACGCTTCTGTGCACACACGCAGCACGATCGAGCGCTTCTGCGGATGCGCACGCCAAGAAATCTGGAAGTATACACTTCCAGGTTTGCCGTGGCCTTAACTCAAAGATTACGTATCCGGAGGGATACGTAGGTAGAGGTACGACTGTATTGGTTTTGTATTATTATTTTGAAGGGAGCTGTAGTCCAACATGCATTTGCAGAGCACCACAGGTTAATAGCTACCCTTGTCCTATGTAATTCCTTTTCCTGCTGCCTGGCAGTTGCACTGCAATCCACAGCTTGCTTCTTCATGTGCCTTGTTGCCGGCTCTCCTCCCCTCTGCCTGCCTCCCTTCCTGCTCCCAAGCTACCCCAAGCCCACCTTGTTCTTCTCCAGCTTTTGACGCTGGCGTTCCTCCAGCACAGCTCGCCGCTTCTCGGCACGAACCCGCTGCTCCTCCAGTCGCCGCCTCCGCTCCTCCAGTTGCTTTTCACGCAGCACCCGAGCCTTCTCCTCCTTCTCCAGCCACAGGACCCGCTTGGCAGCTACTGGGGCAAAGACCAAGGAGTAAAGAGGGAGGAAAGTAGACAGAAGAGATAAAGCAATGTAGTGCATAGCCAGCCTTGTCTGCGCGCGCGCGCGCGCACACACACACACACACACACACACACACACACACAAACTTCCTCACTCCTGGGACATATTACATTACAAGGAAACGGTGTGGTTTTCATTTCATCCAACAAGTCCCTTAGGCAGAGAGAAGGTGAGTATTTTGTGGAAGTCTTGCAATCTGAATATATATCTGAAACAAACACTCTGCCACCTTCCTGCTTATAGCCAGATCCTTCCAGGAATCTTGCAATCCCAGCATGAAGGCAACAGCCTCCCCTCACCATTTGCCTCATAGCACCTAATAGCCACTAACAGATCTTCTCCTCCATATAGTTGTCTAAAACGATATGGCCTCTTGTTCAGCTTTTAAAAACTATTTAAAATGAATGTACATTATTATCGCTTTTAGCTTGCTACCTAGGGAACGTATAGCAGGCTGGATGCGGAGGGAAGGAAATTCTGAGACAGAATACATCAGAACAGTTCTTGCCAACCTGGCTCCCTCTAGGTGTTTTGCACTGCAACTCCCATCAGCCCCAAGGCAGAGGTGGAGAACCACAGGCCTTGGGGCCAAATGCCACACCACTGAGGCTGGGACTTTCCCCAGGCCACACCTCTTCCGCAGCCACGTCCTCTCCCCACAGGACATGTGCCCACCCATTAGCCTGGCTGGAAAAGAGTCACTAAACTCTGATAATGGCAGAGTATTGTGGGAAATTTAGATGGCATGTTGCAGATCCAGCCAGCAGGCATGGAGGGCAGATGTTAGCTCTGATGGGCTCTGATGAGCACTAGGATGTCAGATATTGATGCTGGGCCTTCATGCTTACACATGCCAGGGATCAAACTTGGGACTTTTGCACACAATGCAGATGCTCTCCAAGAGCTATGGCCCTTCACCAAACAATTAAGCTGCCTTATACGGAGTCAGGCTATTGGCCCATTTAGTTCAATGTGACTGGCAGAGGCTCTCCAGGGTTTCAGACAGGGCTTTTCAGCCCTACCTGGAGATGCCAGCGCTTGAGCCTAGGGCCTTCTCCATTCAAAGCAGATGCTCTGCCACTGGGCTGTGGCCCTTCCCCTTTAACTACGGCCATTACTGCCACCATCATCTTCCTCATCTCCACTGCCTCTGGGTCGTACCCTCGACCTGCACCTCAGGGGCAAAGCCCTGAGTCACTGGGGCTAAGAAGCAGACCAATGGTTACAACTTTCCCCAGTGCATCACTTCACAGCGCTGGACCATTAAAAAATAATAATGAACATTAGAAAGCGGGAGCTGGCACTAGCTACAACAGGCCCCTGGCATTCGCTTCTGTGCTGATGCCAGGCCTGGGAACAGTCCAGAAAGAGGCTGACTACCTCATCTGATGCTCGTGATAACTAGGCCTGCCTTTTCATTAGGGATTTTATTTATTTACTTTGGGGGGGGGGAGAAGGTGGGAGGAGATTTGAAGAGGTTGTGGTGTAAAGAAGGAGAATGTCTGCACTTTTAAAGTTAGGTGAGGGGATAGGTGGCTGCTTCCACCTGCTTTGTTCTATCCTCCAGCACTGGGAGCCTTCATAAAGCAGCTGCTTCCAGAAGAACTACTGAGAGGGGTTTCTGGTATAAACGATGAAGGACAGCAGTTGCTCATTGCTAATGCTTTGGGGCCACTTCTGGATGTGAAGTTATTAGATACTTTTACTTTATCGACTGGTGAACTTTATGCTCACTTTAATTTTGATGGATGTTAAATATACAGTTAATTGTTGATTTGTTTAGTGTTACGTTGTTACGTTATTGCAGTGATAATTCTACTTTTTATTATGCAATTATTACTCTGCTGCATTTAGACTGCTTTAAATATGCGAACCGCTTTAGAGAACAGTTGTATTTTGTGGGACATGGTATATAAATAAACTGACTTTGACTTAAGGTTACCGTTTAATTATTTTTATGCATTTTGCATGCACAATGCTTTCAAATGCTTGCAAGCTGCCTTGAAGCAAACTTTGAAAGGCAGGGCACAAATATTTTAGCTAAATAAAAATAGGACCTATCTGCAATGGAAAGCTGGGTTGGCAGGAGAGTTGGAAGGAATGAGGGAAAATCCTGCAGGAATTCACTCAAACAAGGAGTGGGTTGCAGTAACTGAACCCCTAGCTTCAGGAATGAAGCCCACAGCTGGTGACAGCAAGCTGGGGGGGGGAGAGGGGGAAGACCCTAAACAACAAAGTGGATCAGGATACTAGCAGAGAGGGAGGGAGGGGCAATGCAGTCAACAAAGGGAATGGGAAGCTGGCCTGAAAAACACATTCAGGCCAAACAATGGGGGAATGAGGGTGGAAAGTGATTTAGACTGGAGCGGCAAAAGTATTAGGAGGGGGAGTGATGGTGTGGGCAGTGCGGTGCAGAGGGAAAGCAGGAGAGAGGCCGCAGAACAGAGAGCAGCACCCAGCAAAATTAATGACAAGAGGTCTACTGCATGGGAAAGGAATCTTCTTTGCCAAGACATTACCTACAACACATCTCACAGATGCACATGACGGGGGCAGAAGGGGGATGCATAACTGGCTGAAGTTTGTCTGTTTGTCTAGACTTGCTGGCCCAACGGAAGGAAGGAGTGTGATGATTTCTCTCCCACTCACAATTTGGTACACGTGAGAGATGAATTTTCTCAAAATACAAGAGCCGTGCAAAGCCATGTTCTCCCAGACTCCGCACATGCAGAATTACTGTTGTGGGAGGGTGCAGGGACACTACTGCATGTTCCTGTTGCCAATCCTGCAGCCATCCACGTGTCAGGGGCTGAATGTCTGCCATAGGGAGCCTGCCCTGTTTATTCAGAGATGCTCTCTGGGTGATTTAGAGTCCTGGAGGATCAGGCCTCTAGTTTCTTAGCAGGTAAAAAAAAACACCATTCTGCTGTCTATCAGGTGGACTGACTGGCAGAGGAATCACAAAGCAATCTGTGCCCCTTTTGGCAGTCTACTTTGTGTGCCAGCTGTGGAAGAAGCGGCTTTCCTTCATGGCCATCACAGAAACTAAGTTGACTGGTAGAGGAGGGACAGAGAGATTGATCCCTTATTCATCTGCCTTCTCACTCACCTGTATGAGACCTTGGAGACCACTGTCAGTCAGTGTGCAATAGATAGATGGACCAAAGGGTCCTGGGCAAGGGTCCCAGAAGGTCTGAAAGCTTCGTTGCCTGGAGAGGGCCTGAAGCTTCCTCTGCCCCACAAACACAAGCTTGCTTCTTACCTAGATGTTTGGCTCGTTCTTCCCGTCGCTCTCGAGCGAGTTTGTGCCTGGCTTGCGCCTTCTGGGTATCTGGGGAAGAGAAGGGAGAGGTTAGGCCAGTTAGAAAAGTCATTTGCAAGTCCACCCCACCCCCTGCAACCCCTACATTCATCAAATCCTCTTCATGTCTGCACCACTCTTTCTAGACTACTGTGTCCTACTTGGATCTGAAGGGGGTCACACCAGTGGCATCACTGGCAGCAGTAATAATAATAATAATAATAATAATAATAATAATAATGGAGAAACAAAAACAAACTATCAATGTTTACATTTTTAGAGAAGTAAAACAGCAGGGTGGGGAGGAGGAGGAAGACAAGAAAGGAAGAGTAAAATCACACAGCAAATAATATGAACAGGGAGGACTGAGACTCCAAGTAGGACCAGAAATCTGAAAAGAAGCAAGAGAACTGCTGCAGATGGTACTGTGACTCTGCCAGTCATCATGCGTCCTTCTCTAGCACCAACTCAGGGAGCCAAATCTAGATGCCTTGTGGCGATATACCCCATGGAGGAGCAGCAGCAGCAGAAGAAGAAGAAGAAGAAGGCTATCAAGCCAGGCACATAAATAGGCAAAAAAACTACTAGCTTGCAAATGTTTGTACTAGCTATTTCCATGATGGACTCAGGGGAGTGGAGGCCCTCTTCTCCCTGGGCAGCATGGAAACGCAAGCTACTCATCTCTCAGCAGGCCAGAATGTAGTGTTGCCTTCTACCAAGTCAAATGGAGGAGGAGGAGGAGGAGGAGGAGGAGAGACAGAGGAATCCATCTCCTGCTCTTCTAGCCTGCTACATTTCCAGGCTGGTTGCACAAGAAGAGATTTACGGAAGAAGATGTTTTCTTTCCTCCATAGCTGGGCACTCATTCCTCTTTTAAAGCCACCCACTTTGGTGGCCATCACTTCCCCCTTACAGCAGTGAGTTCCATAATTTAACTAGGTGCTGCGTGAAAAAGTACTTTCTTGTACTTTCTTTTTTCTCACTTGAATCTTCCAACAATCCTCAGATGTCCACAAGTTTTAGCATTATGAGGGGGAATCCTTTCTCCTGTTGCCTTATTGTATTTCTTACCACAGGTTTTTAAAATTGTTTTATTATATTGCTGTAATTTTTAGCGCAAACTGTCTAGAACATTTTGTACCGAAAGGTGAAATGAAAGCATTTTAAATAAAGAATAAAAACAACACTCACATGGGACAGAGATGGGGAGCCTGTGGCCCATGGAATAAAAGACTCCAAATGGGGGAGGCCTAGGGTTCCTAATGAAGCCCACAGGCCAGAGGTTCTCTATTTCTGCAGACCCCACCCATCATGACAAACCCCTGGCTGCCGTGTGTGTGTGTGTGTGTGTGTGTGTGTGTGTGTTTCAAACAGAGAAGCTACAAACGTATCTGCTGTCTTTCCACAAGAAATAAACAGTTCAGGAAAATTATGTGGTGACAAAGATTCTCACCTGGCAAATTTCTGATCAGCTTCGAGTTCCACCCCCACCCCCCGACATGCCCCAAACATACCTTGTTTGGTCCGGGGTCTGGAAGGCCCCTGGGCAGGGGAAGGCTGTTCGCTCTTGGGTGCTGGTTGTTGGGTGTTTTCCTGGCGATGTTCTTCTTCTGTGGGAGGCGATGCCTGGGCACCTATCGGTGGGGGGCGGCCATTCTTAGGGGGCAAGGCCTCCACAGCCAGGAGCGTTGTGGCAGGCAGTGGGCTGGCCTGGTTAGTCTGAAGGGAAGGTTTCATTTCCACAGGGGGCACCGTGGCAGTCTTGACACCCGGGGGACCATTTTGAGCAGGAGGCGTTGCCCCTGTGGGAGCGGCAGCAGGCGGCAGAGGGGTGGCTTCTGGTGGGAGGGGAGGGAGAGGCTGGTCACTTGGGTGTGTTTCTGTCTCCCTCATGAGGGGCGCCGTGGCAGGCGAATGGCTAGTCCGTTCACTGAGGGAGAGTCGTGTTGCTTCCGGGAGGGTCTCTTCCGGGGCTGTAAGACAGAAGGAGGCAAGAAGGCTTATGAGGAGACCCCCTCCAAATACTTCTCAGGCAAGCTCTCCAGAGTTAGGCAAGCAATCTCTCCCTCCCCTCACAGCTTGAGGCAGGGGTGCCAGGCACAGCTCATTTAAAGTAAACAGCAATCGCAGCTGGGCACAGCGCCAGCAGGGCACAAAGACCCCTTCTCCCTCAGGCCCGGAAACTGGCATACTCAGATGAAGCAGCAAAGTATCGTTTTATGGGTCCTACGTAAAGTTGCCACCTTTAGGGTGGTTGTTCCCCACCCCCACCCCCGATAGAGTCCCTGTACCTCTAATATCCGCACAGCAGGCCAAACACAAAACACAAAACCCTCTCCTGACACCAAGTGCAGTTCACTTTTTGCTTCTGTGAGATTTCCTGAGGCGGCTGTTTCCAAGCTTCCCTCCTCTAATTGTTAAATGGAGATGGAAGACTTCAAAGGAGCTGTGGGTCCCCATTCTTCTACCCACCCACCCTGCCTGGAGCACAGGCACCCACAGGAATTTTTCCAGGGTGTCTGTGTGTGCATGCATGTGCAAAAGAAAGAAGCACTGAAAAGTGGGGGCGCAGGATAGTTTCTTGCCAAGAGAGAGAGAGAGAGAGAGAGAATAATAGTGTCTCCTATCTCAGGTTCTACAAATATTTTACACTTTCTATTAGCTGGTTCATGTAGGGGGAGAAACTCACACCCACCCTCCGCCCCCAGGTGCCCTCAATCTGGACCAGCCCATGATCTGGACCAGGAAGAGTCAACAATTCACTCCTGCTTCCAGTTACATAATTCACCGCCATCCCCAACACACACACACACCTCCCTCGTAGCAACAGAGTCCTTCGCGGACAACAATTAAGTAATGGAACAAGAATGTCCAGTGTGAGACCTGGCGGAAGCCACAAAAGAAGGCTATAAATGCTCGCCTCGCCTTGTGCTGAAGAAGGCTCCTTGCAGACTCCTGCAGGATGAAAGGCATGAGAAGAGGCAGGGGAGAGGGTGGGGTGAGGCCAGCCAGCTAGCGGTCAAGATTCAAGGGAGAGAAAAGTCCTGGGGAAGGGAGGGGACACAGTGGCAACAAAAAGGCCTGGGGGTGAGCAACAAGTGGAAACCAAATATCTTGCATCAAGCCATTATTTTTGAACGGGGAAAGTGGGGGTTTGCATGTGTGCCGACTCAGAGAAGCTCCTCCATCAGATCAAAGCCCCCTCAAAGCTACACTAAACACAATGCCAGGAGCAATTCTTGACATCCGTGGGAGGTCATGTAAAAAGTTAAAGGGAAATTGCAAAATAAAGCAGCCTTCTCCAACCTAGGGTCCTCCAGCTGTGCTGGCTGGGGCAAATAGCCCAAAACATCTGCAGGGTCCAGGTGGACCGTTAAAAAAAAGAAAAGAACAGCAGTCAACACAAACTCCTAGCCTTGGATAGTTATTTTCATATTTAGAAGTCATTTGCCATGCTGAGCTCTTGGAATGAGCATTCCCCCAGCCTGGACTCACCGGTGACTAAGTTGTTATGCTGCTGTTTTCTGCCTCCTTCTTGCAGAGCTTCATAGCAAGGATAATTTGCTAAACATGCCTCTCAGCTTGCAGGAATTCCTGATCTGAGTCACCTTTGTCCCTTGCATCTCTGTGTCACAACCCTCCATCATCACTCTGGCTGTAAACAGCCTGGGGTGGCTGCCTGCAGAGTGTCCTCCTTTAAGGCAAGAGGTTGTCCTATCCTCACATATATCCTCTCTGCTCTTCAATCTGGATGCATCCCTTCTCCCTGAGCAAGTGGAAAGACTTGCTGTTGCACTTGGGTCGTGCTTGCGGGCTTCCCATGGGGGCAGCGTTTCTCAAATGTGGGTCCCCAGCTGTTGTTGGGACTACAGTTCACATCATTCCTGACCACCGGCCCTGCTAACTAGGGATGGTGGGAGTTGTAGTCCAACAACAGCTGGGGACCCAAGTTTGAGAAACACTGCAGATAGGGACATTTGATTGGCCACTGTGAGGACAGGATGCTGAGCTTGACAGGCCTCTGGTTTGATTCAGCAGCCAGGCTCTTCTGAGGTTCATCCCTGCAACTCAACTAACCTCACTTCTTGCAAGCAACTCTGCCCATTCTCCTATACTTCTGCTTATGTCTGGAACTCTGTCCCAGAACACCTTCTGTAGAACATCACTTCCCTTTGTTCCTTTGGACCCCAACACAAAATGCATGTCTCGGTGAAGCCTGTAATGTCAATCTCAGTCCTTATCCCAAAGTGATATACCGTATTTTTCGCTCTACAAGACGCACTTTTCCCCCTCCAAAAATTAAGGGGAAATGTGTGTGCATCTTATGGAGTGAATGCAGGCTCCACGGCTTCAGCAAAAGCAACGCAAAGTCTCCGGAGCGCAGCAGGAGTGTTCCCGCTGCGCTCTGGAGGCTTTGGGAGGCTATCTCTGAAGCCAGGAGAGCAAGAGGGGTCAGTGCACACCGATCTCTCTTGCTCTCCTGGCTTCGCTTCACTGGAGAAGCGCTGCGCGGCTTTCCCTCTCTGCGCAGCGCCCCTTCAGCTAAGCGGCAGGAGAAATGGAGCCCCTTCTGCGCAGAGAGGGAGAGAATTTTTTTTTCTTGTTCTCCCCCTCTAAAACTAGGTGCGTCTTATGGTCGGGTGCGTCCTATAGAGCGAAAAATGCAGTACATCCCAAGTGCATGTAACAGAATTCACACACTTTTTATCCCTGCAGTACAGGCAACTGGGGTGGGAGAAAACGAATGAAAGCAACCCAGCAAGGTAAAGGAGGGGGAATGTGTTGAACTCCCCCCCCAAAAAAATTATTACATGTGTAAAACTGAAACACACCCACACCCAGCTTTATATCTCAACAGGCCAGATACAGTGGTACCTTGGGTTACAAACTCCGTTAACGTGGAAGTAGTACCTCGGGTTAAGAACTTTACCTCAGGATGAGAACTGAAATTGTGTGCCAGCGGCGTGGTGGCAGCAGGAGGCCCCATTAGCTAAAGTGGTACCTCAGGTTAAGAACGGTTTCAGGTTAAGAACAGACCTCCGGAACGAATTCAGTTCATAACCAGAGGTACCTCTTTACTTTGGTATCAGCCCTGTCATTTGGCCCTTAGTCGGTGCTAGAAATTCCCTGGGTGCCAGGCGCATTTTACTACTGACACGGGTCCAATTGCAACTACATGGAGATTTCTGGGTGCCAGGCTGGTGACAGACATCTTCATCAAGCCAGTTTAAAAACCTCTGCCTTAGTCCATAGTTAATACCATTTCCATTTCCACTATGTGTGTTTCTCCTTCTTGCATACTGGGACAAGTGCAAGCTATAGGCAAGCAATGTAGATGAGATCATAGAATCACAGAATTGTAGCGTTAGAAGGGACCCCGAGGGTCATCTAGAACAACCCCCTGGAGAACAGACATTCTGCTGTGGCAACCGTAAACCAGGTTTAAAGTGCCATTTGGTGCCTAGCTTATATAGCTGAGTTTCTAACACTGCCTAGGCTCTTTGGGTGCTGTCTTTACATTTCCGGAATCCTGTAGAATTCTCATGTACGTTGCTGATTGGGAGCGGCCGCCAAGACCACATAACACCTGTCTTGAAAAACATACATTGGCTCCCAGTACATTTCCAAGCACAATTCAAAGTGTTGGTGCTGACCTTTAAAGCCCTAAACGGACTCGGCCCAGTATACCTGAAGGAGCGTCTCCACCCCCATCGTTCAGCTCGGACACTGAGGTCCAGCGCCAAGGGCCTTCTGGCGGTTCCCTCACTGTGAGAAGCAAAGTTACAGGGAACCAGGGAGAGGGCCTTCTCGGTAGTGGCACCCGCCCTGTGGAACGCCCTCCCACCAGATGTCAAAGAGAAAAACAACTACCAGACTTTTAGAAGACACCTGAAGGCAGCCCTGTTTAGGGAAGCTTTTAATGTTTGACAGACTATTGTATTTTAATATTTTGTTGGAAGCTGCCCACAGTGGCTGGGGAAACCCAGCCAGATGGGCGGGGTATAAATAAATTATTATTATTATTATTATTATTATTATTATTATTATTATTATTAGGAGCAATAGCAAAGCGTCACACGGAAACACCTTAGGGAGCCTCATTCTATCAGTCCCCTGAAGCCCACTATAGTGCAGCCTTCACTAGAAGGGGCTTTTTTGGGCCTCGGTCCTCAGAGAGGTACCATCACCAAACTTTATTACAGTCACAGACCAGCATAAGATAAAAACATGCTAATAAAATAAAGCACATAAGGCTTAAAAAGAGGAAAGGGACAAAAGTAATTATAACTCACAAAACTTAGGATAGAAACAAAAGACAAGCAGTTAAAAGCAACTATATAAGGGGGGGGGCGAGAAAGGTAAGAGCTTAAGAGCACAGGAAGGGATCTACTGAATCAGGCTAAAGGCCCATCTAACCCAAAAATCTGATCTCAAACCACAGACCCCCTTGAGATACCCAGCAACTGATATTCAGAGACATAACAATTTTTATTTGCACCCCGCCCATCTGACAGGGTTGCCCCAGCCACGTAACACCTCCGACACTCCATGCATTTTGTCTGATCCTCTTTTAGAGCCATAGAGGTTGGTTGCCATCACTGTCTCCTGTGGGGACCAACTCCACAACAGCTTCATGCCCTGTGTGAAGAAGATGTAACAGTGTCTTCGGAGCAGAGGGGAGTGGACTCCATGATGGTGCCCTCCTGGTCTTGCTCATCACCTGCCCACTGTTCCTTTCTTAAGACTCGAGGTGCCCAGGATTGAATCAGGGACCGTCTGCTCACGAAGCTTGTGCTCTGCCTCTGAACACTGGCCCCACCACCTTCCTCTCTGGTAAGAGACATGCAGCCAGCAGAAAATGCTGTATATTTTCTGCTATCCCCAATCCCCCCCGCCATTCCTTTAAACCTTTAACCATCTCTGCATTGTGTAATTAGCAGCTACAAGTTGCACAGTCAACAGAATCGCTCTG